GGCAGAGGCAGGCGGATCTCTGTGAGTTCGAGGCCAGCCTGGTCTACAAGAGCTAGTTCCAGGACAGGAACCAAAAGCTACAGAGAAACCCTGTCTCGAAAATAAAAAAGAAAAGAAAAAGAAAAAATAGCAGTTTGAGAGATGGCTCAGCAGTTAAGAGCAATGGCTTCTCTTTCAGAGGGCTTGGGTTCAATTCTAGTGCCCACATGGCAGTTCAGAACTGTCTGCAATTCTCATTCCAGGAGATCCACTGCTCTTTTCTGGCCTTCTAGGACATCAGACACATATCTGGTACCCAAACACATATGCAGGAAAAGTACCCATACACATAACAGTAAAATTAAAAAAAATAAATATAAATAAATCCTTTTAAAAAATAAAAACTGCTGTAGTAATACTTTAAAATATTTTGTTAAATGTATTGCAATATAACAATTCTTTTCTAATTCTATGTATTTTAATTCTGTATAAGAAAATTACTCTGGGGACTGGAGATATGGCTCAGCAGTTAAGAACACTGACTGCTCTACTGCTCTTCCAGAGGACCTGGGTTCAATTCCCAGCACCCACATGGCAGCTCATAAGTGTCTATAAATCCAGTTCCTGGCGATCTGATACCATCACACCATTGCACATAAAATAAAGTTAAATAAATCATTAAAAATTCTTTTAAAATGTTTAAAAGGGAAAATTATTCTGCTGGTGTGGTGCAGGCTTTTATTGCCAGCATTTAGGAGGCAGGGACAGGTGGATCTCCATGAGTTCAAGGTCAGCCTGGTCTACATAGTGAGTTCCAGGACAGCCAGGGCTACATGCTGAAACTCAGTTTCAAAAAAATAAAAAGTAAAATTACTCTAAGCTTGGTGTTGTGGTTTACATTTGTGGTGTCAGCTTTTGGGAGGTAGAGATGGGAGGATCCGGAGTCCAAGGTCATCCTCAGTCACAAAGACTGAAGATCTGCCTAAGCTATAGGAAACCCTCCCTTCAAAAAAGGAAAAATTACTGCGAAAATGGACTTTGTAAAGTTTCATCATACCATAAAAAGATCCCTGTTCTGAGACCAAAAGGGAAGTAAACACAGTCACAAGGTAGATCTCAAAACCAAACCAAACTCACCCTTCTTAAGAGTCATGCATTTCTGTTCTCAAGTACAGAGCAAAACCCATGTTGCTATTTTTAGCGGCTCTATTTGTAAACAGCTGAGAGTGTGATGTAACAGTTCTGTAGACCTAAGGCTCCCTTAGTTCACTGGCACTCATCCTACTTCAACAGAGTTAACCAGAGAGAGAGAGACACGCCTTGCTATATACCTACCTACAAACTGCTTTCCAAAACATACTATACAGATAATATTCAATTATTTAGGAAATCTGAATCTAAAATACGTGTAATCTTCCCATAATTAGAGCGAGTCAGTATTAACATCAGGTAAAGTAACCTTCAGAATCCAAGACACCATCTCCTTAAGAGGAGGTCCCCACGTCAAACAGTGGTGGTGCATGCCTTTAATCCCGGCACTCGGAGGAGGCAGGAGAACTGCTGTACATATTATCTGTTTGTTTGTTAGAGTCTCACTTTGTAGCCAACCTGACCTGAAACTTGATGATGTAGACCAGGCTGGTCTTGAACTCACGGAGGCCCAGCTGCCTCCGCCTACCAAGTGTTGCAATCAAAGACATGAGCCACCACACCTCTGACTGCCAAAAATTTAATGCCTGTCAGTGCTACAATGAGATCCTATCTCAAAATAGACTAGGGGAGACCATACTCATTTTAATCAATTTAAACTGCATTATTAATGGTCCTCATGAAGGAGAATGAGTGAGAAATAAAACCAGAAGCTAAAGCTTTAATTGAATGAGCCAGAATGTAGCATCATTCCCAAGTGTCAGACAGCCTACAGTGCAAAAACAGTCAAGTTAGAGAGATGAATACACCAAGGCCTTTCCATGCCAGATTATCATGACTGTTGCCACTCCCAGGATTGTTCTGTCCTCCTTTTCTCCCCATGATGGTTGCCATTTATTATTATCATATTATTTACCATTGTACAGGACAATGGTGTGGTAGAGCATGAGACTCGTAAACTCAGAGTCGTGGGTTTGAGCCCTACATTGGGCACCAATTTGTTGGGCGCCAATTTGTTGCAACACGAAGAGGCCACTTGTTCATCCTGGCCACCCAGAACCAAAATAACCACACAGAAACTATATTAAACACTGCTTGGCCCATTAGCTCTAGCTTCTTATTGGCTAACTCCTACATCTTAATTTAATCCATTTCTATTAATCCGTATATCACTACAAGGTTGTGGCCTACCAGCAAAGTTTTAGCATGTCTACCTCCAGCCACAGATCCATGGTGTCTCCCTGACTCTGTCTTCCCCGCCTACCTAAGTTCCGCCCTATCAACAGGCCAAAGCAGTTTCTTTATTCATTAATCAAGAAAAGCAACACACAGACAGAAGGACCTCCCATACCAGGACAAAATATCATTCTTTTTATTTTTCATTAGTATGATTCCCTATGTGTGTGCTTGCTCATGCATGCATTTTATAGTTTAGACATGGAGGTGCATGCATGTCATGGTACATGTTCAGAGGTACAGCGGGTTCTCTGCTTTCATTTTTTTTTTTTTTTTTGAGACAGGGTTTCTCTGGATCTTTGGAACCTATCCTGGAACTCTAACACTTGCAGACCAGGTTGGCATTGAACTCACAGAGATCTGCCTGCCTCTGCTTCCCAAATGCTGGGATTAAAGGCATGCACCACCACTGCCTGGCCTCTGCTTCCATCTTTATGTGGGTACCAGAGGTTAAATTCAGGAAGGCAGGCCTGCATCAGGTAAACACATTTAATGGCTAAATAATCTCCCTGGCTCCCAGTTCAGATCCCTAATTTTTCTTTAAAACTAGGTCTTACTGCTTTGTAGCCCACAGGTGCTGGAATTACAGGTATGCCAACATACCCAGTCCCAATAGTTTTGTTTGTTTGTTTTTATTTTTTTGAGACAAAGTCTTTCTGTGTAATTCTAGTCCTTGATATATAGAGTTCAGGCTGACTCGGAAGTCACAGAGGTCTCCCTGCCTGTACCCCTCAAGCACTGGAATTAAGGTCATTTGAGAACATACCTAGCCCAATAACATTTTTATTAGCAATCCTATTAGTTGCAGATTCTCTAAACTGAATAGACTGTAAAAATCATATATCTCCCCACCTCTACTTAATTTGTCATAGACTGTTTTCTGTGTTCAGTTCCCTTCTCGAGCTCTGTTCCTTTCCTATCCTCAGTTTCTCCTTCCTCAATAGCTATTCCCAGCAATTTCTCCTACCACAAACTCCCATTTCCTCATGGCCTCTGTCTCTAATTTTTTTTTTTGTTTGTTTTTTTTGAAACAGGATTTCTCTATGTAACCGTCCTAGCTGTCCTGGAACTAGCTCTGTAGACCAGGTTGGCATCGAATTCACAGAGATCCACTTGCCTTCACCTCCCAAGTGCTGGGATTAAAGAGCTCAGTATCCCTATTTCAATACAGATTTAGGCTCTCCCCAAAAAGGCCCTGAGTTTTATTCCTCAATCATAACTAGTCACCTCAATTATGTCCAAAAAGGTTCCTTAATCACAGAATCATCACAAAAAGAAAAGCTCAGAAATAACCCAATCCACTGCTTCTCAAACTAAATCAACAGCAAAAGCTGGACATGGTGGCATGTGCATTTAACCCCAGCACTAGGGAGGCAGAAGCCAGATAGATCTCTGTGTATCGCTGTGAGTTCAAGGCCAGCCTGGTCTAGTTCTAGGACAACCAAGGCTACACAAAGAAACACTGTCTTAAAAAAAAAAAAAAGGCTGGTAGCCAGGCGGTGGTGGCGCACGTCTTTAATCCCAGCACTCAGGAGGCAGAGGCAGGCAGATCTCTGGGAGTTCGAGGCCAGCCTGGTCTACAAGAGCTAGTTCCAGGATAGGAACCAAAAGCTTACGGAGAAACCCTGTCTCGAAAATCCAAAAAAAAAAAAAAAAAAGAAAAAGAAAAAAAGAAAAAAAAAAGGCAGGTAGCCCAGGCTCACCTTGAACCCACCAGGCTGTAGGACTACTCAATATACTCCTGCCTCAGCCTTCTGGGTGTCAGGATTTTAGCTGTGAATCACCGCACCCAGTTTTCAAATTTAGCTGTACTTTACTGTATACATCGTAAAGATGTATGTAACTAACTTTAAAGATGTATGTAACATCATCATTGCAAACACACATACCTTAAGCCCTTACTATGAAAACACAGTGGAAATTCCTATTCTAGTCCAGTTTTCCGTTTTTATTTCGTTGTCATCCACTATCTTCACAACCCAACAGTACATACATACACTGGGACTCATAGTTGGGAGACTTTAATCTGAACCCGAACTTCCCATTCACAAGTGAAGAAACGGCATTTCAGTGGTGAAATGTGTTTCTCACCCACAGAACTTTGCCCCTAAAATTCAAACTCTTGTCTAATGAGTGTCACGCTCGTGTGGTTTCTACTTAAAGCCCTCTCCCTGGTCACTCACTCACTCGCACTCCGTACACAAACACAACTTCAGAGCACCAACCCCAACTCCTGATCTTACGTTCTCCTCCAAGTCACCGCTTGCTGATGAGCGAGCCCTCGCCGCCGAGCTTCATGTTCCCACGGGTCAGTCCCCTCAGCCACCATCCATCGACCACTCAGTCCCCTGGGAGTCGCTGCAGCATACTTACTCGGTCATGGTCCCGTCGCAGCCTCTGCCTCGCGCTCTCCGAGGTCAGAGTCCCTCGCATTTACTGCTCCGGGGTCGCAGACCCCTCACAAGCAGTCACCTCCCGGTCACAGTCCCCCTGGCTGTCATTGTACCTCGGTCACAGTAGCCCCGCAGTCACTGCTCCGCATTTCCCTGGCTGTCACTGACCTGTTCTTCAGTCACAACCCCTTCACGGGCCCAGCCGGCATTTGTCCACGCAAGCAAACACTACCCCGGGGTTCCTTACCGCAGCTCTCCCGGGCTCGGGTCCCGTCCGAGTCCTTCCTGGCGCCGCGTCACCGACTAGCGAAGTCAAATAGGTTGCGGGGAGACGCCCGGGAAACATCTGACCGGACAGCGGGCCGGAAGTCCCGCCTACCGCCCGCCCTCTTGTCAATCCCACCATCACGTCTCTGAAAACCACTACCTGACAGAGTAGTTCCGCTTCCAGCCCGGCCTGGCGGGTGGAGGGACAGCGCAGAAGCACCGGACACGGGCGCGGGGTCAGCAGCCCCGGAGTACCGGATGTGTGGCGCCTCCTGTCGGCGGGGGCTCCCTCGGCTGTGGTCTCCCGGCGCCGCTTGCATCCGCCGACCCCCCGCACTTGTACAGGCGTGCGGCCCCGACACCCAACCTCAGCAAAGAATTCAAGCCTCCAGCCACGTCCGGCGAACGCTCGGGTCTGAGCTCACAGCCTCCGGATATTTTGACAAGGGTGACCCACAGAAAATGATCCCTACGAATGGACTGAGAAAGTAGTTGAGCAGGAGTAGAGGCAAAGGCACTGGTAGGAAAATGGACGGATCGGGGTGGGCAGTCAAGCAAACGAACTTCGTACGGTGAACTTTTGGGGGATTTTGTTTTGTAGAGGTTTCTTTTCCTCTTTTAAGATTTGTGCAGGTCCACAGAGGCCATAAACGGGGCAACAGATATCTTGGAGTTACAGGTCTTTCTGAGCACTTTCTGGGTGCTGGGACCTGAACGCTAGTCCTCTGCTACAACAGTAACTGCTCTTTGCTCTTAACCGCGGAGCCATCGCTCCATCCCCTTTATGGGGCGGGATGGTGGTGGTGGGCTTTTGCTTGGGAATTAAAAATAACTTTATCAGACACTATTTCCCAGGCTGACCTGGAACTTAACGAGGTGTCCCATGCTGGCCTTGAACTTGCAGTGGGCCTCTGGCCTCAGCCTCAAGAGTGCAGGCGTTAGCCACCACACCCAGTGCGATTTTGTAGGTGTAAGACAAGTGGGTACAGACAAAAGATGGGGGGAACTTTAATACATTTGTTTGCACTTTTTCCTTGAAGATAACCAAGAAGGGAGATAAGTAAACTGCACCTGCTGAGGTGCTTCCAAGAAAGAAATGATTAAAGTCTGACTCACAAACACCCCTTGAAGTTCAAGTAGTATTTAGACATGGCAGATAAAATGGCCCAAATAAGGACAGCTAGCTGGAGGAGACACCAAGGGCCTCTCTGGGGAAGATGGTCATCACAAAAAGAGGAAAGATTGTGGCCAACACAGAAGTCTCCAAATTTGAAGGGGTTCTACTTTATATACAACTTGGAAACTTCTCAGACCCTGACAGTAAACAGATGTAGTAAGAGCTCAGATAGCATGATAAAGTCAAACCACTAGATACATAAAACCTAAAACAACGGATTTTAGGTGCCAAGGTCCAACTTATTTTTATTTGGTCAGGATATTAATACAAAAGTTGAGGTTTCTTCGTGCCACAGTCACCCTTCCCAAAGATTCAATAGTAGAAACAACCAAACGCTGCTACAACACAGAATAAGCTGTCCTAAAAAATAAATACAGAAAACAGAAATCCAGGGTGTTAGTGCTAATGAGACCGGAGGTCACACAGGCTATGACATCAGTGCTAACCAGTGTTATGTACTAGTATGGATACACTAGACCACTGCTAACGTTTTCTTCTGTTCTCAGAGACTTCAACAGAGACAATCACACTTGAACTGATCGTCCTGCATCAGCCTCCCTAATGTAGGGTTACAGGTGTGACCCTCCATACTCTCCTTTTTGTCAATTTCCAATTATGGAGCTTTCTTCCTTCAAGAAACAGAAGGTTTCCAGGGTGCCACTATAAAGTTGTTTTCCTGAGGACATCTACAAGACTGCTCTCTAAAAGGTGCCAAGTAGGGTAGGAGGGGAGGTGGGGGAGGGGATAATCGAAGCAGTCTATTTGCGTGTGGGGAAATGCAGTGAAGCCCATTATATGTAATTAACATGCATTAATCTGAGGGTGCAGGAGGAGGATAGAGAGTGGGAGGCCAGCCTCTTAATTACATAGATAATTAATTACATAATTAAGTATATGGTGTGGCGGGGCATGCCTGTAATGCCAGCTCTCAGTATACAGAGGCACGGCTGGTCTGCATAGAAAGTTCCAGGCCAGCCAGGGTTATTGTGGGTATTCACTCTGCCAATAACCTTGGGCTGTCTGGCCCTTTAAGAGGCAGTGCTTCTTATCTGCCCATGAGACCTCTTACAAGGAAGGAGGGAGGGTGGTCGCTCTCTCTTAGGTGGTAAAGGCCAGGTCAGGTGGCATGAAGCAGTGTGTGATTCGTCCCCAGCTTTTCAAGAACTCTGCAACTGGATTTACCATATCCTGTATTCGTGAGTGTATTTCCCTCCCCCTTTCATATCTTAATAAATCCTTGATACCACTTAAAGACACACGTGGATTTCTCTTAACAGGTTTTATAGTGAGACTCTTGTCTTTTTTTTTTTTTTTTTTTTTTTTTTTTTTTTTTGGTTTTTTGAGATAGGGTTTCTCTGTAGCTTTCAAGCCTGTTCTGGAACTCACTCTGTAGACCAGGCTGGCCTTGAACTCACAGAGATCCGCTGCCTCTGCCTCCCTAGTGCTGGGATTAAAGGCATGCACCACCACTGCCCAACTCTGAGACTCTTGTCTTAAGAAAACAAAACCGGGGCTGGAGAGAGGGATCAGTGGTGAAGAACACACTGCTCTTGCAGGGGACCCGCATGGTCCCTGCACCTACATTGGGTGACTCATAGGGTATCATTCTGATACTCTCTCTGACTTCTGGGGCACCTGCACTCACATCAACACACATACACATATAGATATATATATATTTAAAAAAATTTAACAACAATGAGGTAAAATAATCAGACTTTTAAATTAAATATGTGAATGAAATTTTATATAATACATACTCACAAAATAATTATTCTATATTGCCGTACTTAAGACAGAAATAGTTATCAAATGCTTTGAATGTCTTGGAGTAAGTGTATTACCCAGAGCAAGGAATGCAGGATATTATCATTGTAACTAAGATAGAAGCATATGATGGTTAATATCCATTTTAAACCTGACTAGGTGTAGAGTCACCTCAGAGACACTGCAGGAAGTTTGTGGGAGCATCCTAGACAGATTTACCTGAGGAGGAAAGGAAAGACCTGCCCTCGACATGGGCAAGTTCCTTATGCCACAGCTACCAACTGCTCCTGCTGCCAGGCCTTCCTCACAAAAATGGGCTCTACTGCCTGAACTAGAAGTCACATGTTGCTTCCTGACAGTATTTGATCTCAGCAATAAATAAAACAAGTAGCCAATATGGTGGATAAAGGATTTTGTTTTGTTTGTTTTTTGAGACAAGGTTTCTCTGTGTAGTCCTGGCTGTCCTGGAACTTTCTCCGTAGACCAGGTTGGCCTCAAACTCAGAGATCCAACTGTCTCTGCCTCCCGAGTGCTAAGACTAAAGGTGTGTGCCACCACCATGTGGGCATGTGCAATTATGTTATTAGAAGCCCCTTTATCTGGTGTGCAAGTCTTTGATCCCAGCACTCAGGAGGGAGAGGCAGGCAGATCTCTGTGAGTTCAAGGCCCACTTGGTCTACAGAGCTAGTGCCAGGAAGGCTCCAAAGCTACAGAGAAACCCTGTCTCAAAAAAGCAAAAATCAAAACAAAACAAACAACAACAAAAGAAGCCACTTTATCATTTTCCTGCTTTAAGTAAAAATGTCTATAAATTAACTTTTTCACAAATAAAACAGTAAAATTTAAAATAAAACCACCGATGCTGGGCATTGATGGCACACACCGTTGATCCCAGCACTAGGGAGGCAGAGACAGGTGGATCCCTAAGTTCAAGGCCAGCTTGGTTCCAGGACACCAGCTACACAGAGAATCCCTGTCTCAAAAAAAAAAAAAAAAAAGTTTCAGTAAAAACTCCTTATCCAGAAATCTAAGCCATCTAAGAGAGATGTCTCAAAAATTATCGTGTCTTCCCATGTTAGCAGTAATCTGCTACACAATGGCCATGTGTCCCCAGACAGGAGAAAGGAGTTTCCCAAAGACTTACGTTCATGAAGACATCATGAGTGTAGTTGTCAGTGTCTGCATCCCAGAAACATCGAGCAGCCATGCTGGAATGCCAATGAAGACTGGTCAGCAGTGTACATCTGACCTATGATCTGCCACGAGCAAGTTTATTCCCTAAAATCTCACAGGTCCATGCTTCAACCTTTCCATGGCACATGGAGGCAAAATACGCTGGACCACCAGGAAGGACAGGAGTCACAGGCAAGGCTGCTTACAGCTAGAGGTGAGGGCCAGGGTCTCTAGCCAACTAGCACCCCAACTGGCTTCCTGACAATTACACGGATCAAATTAATTTGGCTACGACACTTGTGAGTGACTTTCAGTGGGCTCAATTCCTGCAGAATAATAGGAAAAGAGGTCTTGGAAAAGACCCAATATAATACTTCACCCAACCTGGTCATTTGTAGAGACCTGTCCAAGAAAGGGACAACTCTGAGCTATAATTCAGTCTTCTAACTAGACCAGCATTAGGAGGCCCAAACCTGTAAAACCAACATTTGGGAAGCTGTGGAAGGTTGCTGCTAAAAAGACCAGGGCGGCAGAGAGACACCCTGTTTCAAAGACAAACAAAAACCAAGTACAGTCTTGCAAGCCTGTAATTTCGACACTGGCAATTGAAGGCAGAAGATCTAGAGTTCTAGGGGCAGTAGGAATATAAATATAGCATCAGACTATTTATAACTATAAAGTTAAATCATAGAGTAGTTCTTTGTCCCTGAACTCTGCATATACTGAAATTTTAGATAATCGCTTCTTTCCTTTTTTAAGACAGAGTCTCTCTATGGTCTGGCTATCCTAAAGCTCACTATGTAGACCAGGCAGACCTCAAACGGAAAGGATGGAGAAAGAATTTGTGCACCATGACATAAAATAGAGGTCAAAGGGCAACTATTAAGAGTTGGTTCTCTCCTTTCACTAAGTTGAGTCCAGAGATCAAACTTGGGTTGTCAGACCTGATGGCAAGTGCCGTTAGCTGATGAGCCATCTCTTCAGCCTCCCAGTTCTCCTTGGAACTTGGCCTGACTACATCTCACAGTGTCAACCCAAACCAGGAGAAGTTTCGAATACAAGACACTACTGAAGACAGCTCTAGATTTGTGGGGGCCAAGACTATAGTGAGGTGGAGATCATTTCCTATGTGTAAGGCCCCAAGTCCAACATGTCCACCCCATGGACCACAAACTAAATAATGTGGATGGTCAGAACGTCAGAGTTAGGCCTGGTGACAGGGACCACTAAGTAATGCTGGCATGCAGGCACATCCAGGGCAGAGCATACAACAAGACTCGTGACCAGAGGTGACTCTAGGGATGTCCACCTGGGAACTACCCAGACATTAGCCTTACGAGTTCAGGCTGCATCTGTTAAACCATCCTCCTGACTCTTTCAGAGACAAAAGGAGTGAGTTATCTATGCACACAGTGGACAGCTCCCAAGGAGCACAGATGAGACAGGAACACACACACATACCCCACCCCACCCCCCACACCCCGCTACTCACAAGACGCCTTCACCCCTCTGCTCGCCAATCACCACTTGCACCACCATTTTATACCGGTCATATCCCAATTCTAGGAAGGAGAACAGCAGAAAGTTAGCTCTATCCAAGTCCGCAGTAACATGACCTGCTGATCATAGATTCTTCCAGAATAAAGAAGCACACAGCCCATGGGTACTTAAGGAGTAGATAGTAAGATTACAGGTCTGAGGCCTGGAGATAAGCCCTGACTACAAAGTTGCCCTGAGGCAAACCCTTAGAGCCTAACTTTCCCTTTAATTTCGCTAGTCTGTTAAAAGGGAATGTTCTCGCCTGTTAGACTGTTGTAAGGAGAGCAAAGGTATGAAGACACACAGTGCTGGCATACAGAGTGAACCTGGACCCTTCCTGAGACTGCCCCTCAATTTACAGAAATAAGAAAACATTCTTCTTGCCTTGGGACCAGAGAGCTCATAACAGAACTCAAAAGTAGACAAAAACATTTATTTTAGAAGTGGCATGTACAAGGTGTATCCGAGCTGGGAGTTCGTCACTGTGTTGGGGGTGGGGCACAGGATCAGCAAAGACTGCGCACAGAATGTGCTGGAGAGTGAGAGTTTACCAGGACGAGAGCTCTTCAGTGTTAGTCCCTTCATGGAGCAGGAATAACAAAGGCATGAGAATGGGACTGGAGAGGTGGCTCGAGGAACGGAGTGCTTGCTGCTCGCACAGAGGACCAGAGTTCAGTCCGCAGTGCCCACATCAGCAGCTCACAACCACCTCTATCTTCAACCCCAGAGAACCCCTAGCCCCGCTCCATGGGCACCCACACAGCACATCACATAAATTAAAGAATAAAACTAGGTGGATGGTGAGAACATGGGATCTTCAGGAAATTGTAAGCTGTTCATTAAGGTGGACAGGAAGGAAAGAAACATAACCTGGCATGGTTGCAGGGGAAACTCAGCACTCTGGAGGCTGCAGGAGTTCAAGGTCAGGATGCAGGACAGCACAGTAAACTGGACAAACAACCTGAGGACTACAGACACTGTCCAGAGGCAGCCTGAACAAAATTCGTGGGGAAGAGCCCAGTTTGTTGGTGCGCTTTTGTTGTTGGTCGTTTGTTTTGTTAGAGCCATGATCTCACACTCATTAGTCTTCCTGCTTCTGCCTCCCGAGTACTGTGACTACATGTGGGCGCCACCCTGCCCTCCAAATCATTATTTTAAGAACACTCCCCCCTCACCTGAGATGTCCCCCTTCTCCCTGAACCCCTAATGGCACAGAAATGTATGTGGGACACTCAACATCTAGCCGTGACATCATCATTCTGAAGGAGAAATAAAAGGCTTTTTAAAGATTTATTTTTATGTAGATTAGGTCTTGCCTGCAATTATATATATGCACCATGTGCATGCCTGGTACCCATGAAGGCCAGAAGAGAGTACTTGGATCCATTGAAACTGGAGTCTTACTGAGTGGCCTCAATGGAACAAAAACTGTGACATCCATGTGACCACGACTTTGTGACAGAACATTTGCCTGGCATGCAGGAGGCCTTGAGCTCTATCACCAACACTACAAAAGCAGGATGGCACAAAAGTAAATAACTTCTCTGATGGTATAACACTAAAAATAGGGCATGGTGCTGGGCAGTGGTGGCGCACGTCTTTAATCCAAGCACTCGGGAAGCAGAGGCAGATGGATCTCTATGAGTTCTAGGCCAGTCTGGTCTACCTAGCAAGTTCCAGACCAGCAGAGCTACATAGTGAGACCCTGTCTCAAAATACAAAAGTTTCTGTTAGCAAGAAACAAAAGCACAAAATGTATTATGCATATGTTGAATTTGGCAAGAGTGGAGGGCTGAATAAGAAAAGCAGTTAAGAATTCAGTAAGAGGGGGCTGGAGAGATGGCTCAGTGGTTAAGAGCATTGCCTGCTCTTCCAAAGGTCTTGAGTTCAATTCTCCGCAACCACATGGTGGCTCACAACCATCTGTAATGAGGTATAGTGCCCTCTTCTGGCCTGCAGGCATATACCCAGACAGAATATTGTATACATAATAAATAAAAAAAAAAAAAAGAATTCAGTAAGAAGTGGGCCCAGGACAGTCTGGGAGGGGGTACCGAGTGCTGGACTAAATAATCTACAGGGTGGTGGGGGAAAAGAAGCAATGATAACAAGGGAAAGGAAGGAAGCCTTCTGAATACTTGGGTTTCTCGGACATGGCTTCCCTGTGATGCTTTCACGCAAACCTGTACTCTTTCCTCCAGTCTGTGAGATTCTGCCTGAGAAAAAGTTACCAAAAACTCACAGAATTCTAGACAGTGAAGAAAATTTGTCTTTAATAGAAAGCATAGATCACGTCCTGGGATCAAAGATGGGGCAGTGTGCCAGATGGGCAGTGGTGACCCATGCCTTTGTCCTGCCACTCAGGAGGCAGATCTCTGTGAGGTTAAGGCCAGCCTGCTCTATAGAGTGACTTCAAGGACAGCCACAGACACACAGAGAAACTGTCTGGGGGAGGGGGAGTGGCAGGAACAAATGGTCAGAACTGGGTGTTTGAAGGGAATTTCATTTCCAGCGACAGCCCAGGTTACCTTTCAGTTTATCTTTAATGGTTTCTGACAGACGTTTTGTGAGATGAGGCATTTCATCTGGAGAATATTCAGCGCTTGCCAGTTCCTCTTTGAGCACGGCATGGATGCAGTCTTTAACCACAGAGGGTCTAAACCTAAATCAAACAATTTGAGAACATCTAAATGTCAGCTCAGCACCCCAACATCCTTCTCACTTCAGCCTTTTTGTCAGCAGCAGCCTTAAAAACTGTACCTAGTTGTGAAGTCACTAGGAGGTGGTGGTGCACACCTTTAGGTCCCAGCACTCAGGAGGCTGAAGCAGGAAGATCTCTGAGTTGGAGGCCAGCCTGGTCTACAGAGTGAGTTCCAGGACAGCCAGGGCTAGGAAAGCCCTGACTGGAAGACAAAAAAAAATAAATAAATACATGAAACACTGTATCTAGGGCCTGAGAATGTAGCTCAGTGGTAAAAAACTTGCCTTGCATGAATGAGGCTCTGTTTTCCATCTCTAGCACTGGCCCCACCTGATACTGTTATTTACTTCTTAGGTCCTTTCTTCTTACATTTACTTTGAGTCAGGATGTCTGTGTGGGAGTCGGCTCCTTCCTTTCACTACCAAGGTCTCCAGGACCGAGCTCAGGTCATCGGGTCTGAAGTCAAGCACCTTCACCAGCTGGGCCATCTCACTGGTCTCTTTCTATTTATTTATGTGCATATTTGCCTGTGTGTATGTATGTGCACCACGTATAACACCTGGTGCCTCTGGAGTTACAAACAACAGTGAGCTGCCATGTGGGTGCTGGGAACCAAACCTGGGTACTCTGCAAGGCAGCAGATGCTCTTAATTGTTCTCCAGCCTCTGCTAATGCTTTTTCTGCTGTTCACAAAATGCTAAGCTTCTCTTCTCTTCTCTTCTCTTCTCTTCTCTTCTCACTGGCACACATCTGTTACTAACCGCGTTCTGTACCGTTTCCAAAGGAAACACAGCTCAGGACATTCCATACATTAGAACATTTGCTGCGGTAACTGCACACACCTTTTCAATATCCATGGGGAAACTGCTGCATGAAGTTGCTATCACATATAGGACTATCTCTACCTTTTAAAGATTTACTTATATTTTATATTTTTGGTGTTTTGCTTGCATGTATTGTCTGATCCTATGGAACTACAGTTACGGATGGTTGCGAGCCGCCATGTGGATGCTGTACTCCAGTCCTCTGGAGGAGGAGCTGTAGGACCCTCACCCCTTATTCTCAAAGGGGTGAAAAGAAATTTCCTAGCAGAATGTTTTCCCAGGAAGATAGTGGCCTTCCCCTCTCCCACCCGGGAAATTCCGAGCACAATGTCACTTAGCTCAGCCCAGCCAGCCACCTGGTGCAGGCTGATAAAGATGGCCTAACTCAAGAACAGTGGTCTTGTTCTAAGAACAAGGAAAAAGCTGACTTAGCAGAATGGGAGGGAGCAAAAATCCTTGCATCCGTGCCAAAGCAGCTTCAAAAAGCCTCTTTGTAGTTATGCCTTTAAAAGCTTACCCCACAAAGGAGATACAACTCCTCTCTCTACCTCACTATAACGGGATTAGTAGATAGGGGTTCAAAATATGTTTGTAGTATGCTGATTAAACCTTGCTTATTACAGTCTGGGCCTCTCTGGTGGTCGTATCTGGGCACAACAGAGCCAGTGCTCTAAACCACTGGGGCGTAGCTTCAGGCCTTCACCTTGGATTTTGAGGCAGGGTCTCTCACTAGGTCTTGCACGTGAGGCTATGCTGGCCAGAGAGTTCCAGAGCCTGTTTCTCCAATACCAAGACCAAATCTCCATCACTAGGATCACAATATGCAACGACTTTAGTGGGTGCAGGAATTGAACTCAGGACTTGATGCTTTCAGAACAAGCACATGACAGACAGAACTCTCTACAGCCCCCACCCCCCAATCTACACCCTCTTACCCCACGAATTAAAAATAAAATATATCCTCTCTCGGTTCCAGTGAGATGGCTTAGCTGGTATTGCAGTCAAGCCTGATGACCTAAATTCAATCTCAGGAACCACATAATGGAAGAACTAAACAGAACCGATTCCCACAAGTTGTCCTCTGATCACAAGTGCACAGCACAGGTGAGCACGCGGTAACAGAGTACCGCCAGCAAATTGCTTGTTTCCAGCCTCTGTTTTTTCTGTCCCCGGTGTGCACCCCCTAAAGCCTCCGAGAGGTCAGCCACTCCCATGAGCCAGTCTAGGGTTCCCGGGAAGACCTGCCAATCCCGCCGCAGAGCTCTGCTTTGGTAAAGTGGCCACGTCGGAACGCCAAAGCCCGCCCAGCTCCGCCCCTCTCCGCGTCTCCTTGGCGACACTGAAGCGCCCGGGCCCCACTCCCTACGGATTTCGCCCGCCTTGCCCAGACCGCTACGTGCCTTTGCTGGAAAATGGGCCTCAGAATATAGGTGTTCTCCGGCTCCCCTGAGTTCTTGTCGGCCTCGAACAAGCCCTCGGAGGCGCCTACTGATCCGGACCGGCCTTTGGTGGACGCGGCCATCAGCGGATCTCTGGAGAGGCCCGGCTGGTGCCTGCGGCCCAGAGGTCCCAGAGCGCGTCCCCAGGGCAACGGGTCGTTCACGTGACATCCATAGCCGTGCCCCCTTTTGGCGCCTGCGCACTGGCTGGAGCTAGTGGTGCCTTGGAGTCTGGGGTTAGGGAACCTACCGCTTGCTGGCAGCCAGCAAGCAGCCGGACCACCCCAGACTAACTTCCTTATGTTTCTTCTCTTCCTGTTTTTGAGGCTAGGTAGCCAAAAGTACCGCTGAACTCCGCCTCGACCTTCCCAGGTTTGGGATAACGGGCATGCACCACCGTGCTAAATTTTATGGGTGCCAAAGCTAGAACTCTACTGAGTCACATCTATGCACACTGTTCCTTCTAGTTTTGGACAACTTGTGAATTAAAAGAATCAACAGTAGAATTTATGTATAATTTTTTGTTTTAATTTTTGAGGCAAGATTTTTTTTATTTTAGTTGAAATTTATTTTATACACTATATTCTTATCATGCTTTCTCCTTATGCCAGTTCCACCAGATCCCCCTCACCTCCCTGTCAGATCCAAAGGAAACTAATGTGTTCAACTCCAAAGGGCAGCCCAAATATCCAGAAATTAACTCCTGCTGGACTATAGGAATTCTGGCTGTGAGATAAAAGCCAGCATTGCTCAAGAACCTGTGGAACTGGTTATGCCTTACCTCCTGCAGAAAGAACATTGGTCTACCCAAGCTCTTACAGCATATCAAAGTGTGTACTGGCCTCCAGGCTCCCCCACAGATAACTCTGGCCACGTCCAGTCTCCTGGCCATGTTCAGTCAACGTCATTCTCTCTGCTCTGGACTTTTTCAAATGACTCTGGCTATTCTCTCATATCTATAATAAAAACCTTAGTCATTTCATGTTGGCCATTTCTTTACTGTGTCCCCTTGAATACACTTCCTACCCCAACCCCAGCTCAAGCCTTTGCTCGCTCTCTCTCTCTCTCTCTCTCTCTCTCTCTCTCTCTCTTTGAAAAAAAAAAAAAAAACAACAACAAACGAAAAAGCCAGGTCTAGTGGCTTTAATTTCAGCAGTTTGGAGGCATTGGCAACAGATCTTGGAGTCTGTGGCCAGCCTGTTTTACAGAGGGTGAAAGGGTCAGTGAAAACAACCTGCTCCTGACTTGACCCCAGAACCAGAGCTTGAAATTGCACCAATCCCTGAGCATAGAATCCCACCAACCTCTGAGGCCCCTGAGCACAGAATCCCACCAATCCCTAAACACAGAGACCCACCAATCCCTGAGCACAGAATCCCACCAATCCCTGAACACAGAATCCCACCAATCCCTGAGCACAAAATCCCACCAGTCCCTGATCTTGCCCTAGAATTGGGCCACAAAAACCCACCAATTGCAAGCCACCCAGGGAAGTCCCACTCCCTAAGAAACCCTATATAAGCTCTGTGCCCTGTTCAATTTGCTCCTGCTTCTCACCCTAGAGGCAGCTACCCTCCTGGATTTTTCTGATGGAGGAGGGTCTATGTGTTACTTTCATTGGTTAATAAAGAAACTGCCTTGGCCTTTGATAGGCCAGCCTTTAGGTGGGTGGAGAAGACAGAACAGAATGCTGGGAGAAAGAAGCTGAGTCAGTCAGTCGCCATGATTCTCCCACCCAAGACAGACGCAGGTTAAGATCTCTTCTGGTAAACCACTACCTCATGGTGCTACACAGATTATTAGAAATGGATTAATCAAGATGTGAGAGTTAGCCAGTAAGAGGCTGGAACTAATGGGCCAGGCAGTGTTTAAAAGAATACAGTTTCCTTAATTATTTCGGGTAAAGCTAGCTGGGAGCCGGGCCACAACCCGCTGCTCTCACCACTACATTTTTCCTTCCCAATAAACCTCCTGAGTGAGGTTTATTGTGCACTGTGTGACATTTTCCTTGGAGTAGAGCCCAGCTTTAATTTTTTTTTTTTTTTTTTTTTTTTTTTGCCAGAGCAGAGCAGCAGTTAATAACTTCACTGGGGAAACCCTCCCCTACCAGAACAGAGTTGGTCCACTTGTATTTGGAAAACCTTTCCCTGGGGCAGACCTGTAAGCTGCCACTCTTAGAGTGACTGTGACATTCTTTGGCTCCCGATGTCAGAATTCCTTTCCATTCAAGCTGCAATACTTACAGGGAGTTCTATTAGCCCCCAAAGAAACATGGGACAAGTCTCACTCAGTACCTGTAGCTCCTCCCAGCACTTCTCACCCAGCCCCACATCCTAAACCTCTCCAACCTAGGCTCTGGGCCTCATTTGCCTTCCCCCAGATTCTGATCCCTGTGTAACAGCTGTTATTCTTAAAATCTGGGGGTTCCCCCCCACCCGGTGGGCTCACAGAGCAGCAGCAAGCTCCGGTGGGTCCCCAGCGGTGCCGGGCGCCTGCTCCAGAGTCTGGCACTCCCGAGCAGTGGCAGAGTTCCCATCAGCGGGAAGCCACACGGCAGAATTCCCAATGCGCAGCGGTTGTGAGCAGACCCATAGACACAGAAAGTAGCCATAAAAGCATTTATTGAGAGAGAGAGGGAGAGAGGGAGAGAGAGAGAGAAAGAGAGAGAGAGAGAGGAGATAAAAGGAGAGACAGAGAGAAAAGGAGAGGAGAAACAAAGCCCCGTGTGTACACCGGGAGAGAACAGAAGAGAGAGAGAGAGAGAGAGAGAGAGAGAGAGAGNAAGAGGAGAGAGAGAGAGAGAGAGAGAGAGAGAGAGAGAGAGAGAGAGAGAGAGAGAGAGAGAGATGATGATGGCGGAGGTCAGAGGTAAAAAAGGAGTGGGCGTAGCTTGTCCCTTAAAGCTACGGGAAAGCACAACAACAGCCATTTTGGCTACACAGCCTCTTGGTTCCCATGCATTCTCTTGGTCTTCTTGGTCCTCTTGATCCCCCTCTCCTCTCCTCTTCCTCTTCCTCCCCCCACCCACAGCCCAGTCTATTCTGCTGACCATGGTCAGTCTGGACTCTTCCAGATGCCACTGGCTGGTTTGTCCCTCATGTACAATAAAGACCTTTCTTGGGTTTTGAGACAGGGTTTCTCTGTGTAGCCCTGACTGTCCTGGAACTTAAATGAAAATGAGGACAGGACTGCGTGCCTAGGTACAGGTGAGAAGGATGTTTTGTTGTTGCTGTGGTGCGGGAGAATTGTCTGTATTCTGTCAATCATGTTTTAAATAAATGCTGATTGGCCAGGCAGGAAGTATAGGCAGATCACCAGACAGGAAGTAGAGGCAGGGCGATGAGAACAGGAGAATTCTGGGAAGGAGGAAGCCCATTCCTGGCACTCCTGCCCAGACCACTGAAGAAGCAGGATGTAATATGCCTATCTAAAAAAGATACTGAGCCACATGGCTAACATAGATCAGAATAATGGGTTAATATAAGTGATAAGAGCTAACAAGAAGCCTGAGCTAATGGACCAATCAGCTTTATAACTTAAAAAGATATATGTGTGAGCCAGGCGGTGGTGGCGCACGCCTTTAATCCCAGCACTCGGGAGGCAGAGGCAGGTGGATCTCTGTGAGTTCGAGACCAGCCCGGTCTACAAGAGCTAGTTCCAGGACAGGCTCCAAAACCACAGAGAAACCCTGTCTCGAAAAACCAAAAAAAAAAAAAAAAAAAGTATATGTGTGATTTTCTTTGGGGTTTGCTGGCTGCAGGGTACAGGGCAGGACGGAAACCCCAACAAGCAAGCCGGCCCCATTCATGTTACATTGCTGTTGTTTTGCTTGTTTGTTTTCTGCTTTTTTGAAACAGAGTTTCTCTTGGTACCATCCTGGAACTCACTTTGTAGGTCAGGCTGGAATTAAAGGTGTGTGCCACCACTACCCAGCGCCTGTCTGTAATTTTAACAGGCAACTTAACTAATGAACTAATGAGCTACCGAGGTGGTTGTAACCTTGGGGGTCAGGGGAGAGCTGTTAAACTGGTAAATCTATCAGCACCAGAGTCATCAAATACCATCAGATATGAGAAGGATAAATTTTAACCGAGTAAGCAGAAGTGAGACAGCCTTCCATTTACCTAGACAGCTACCCCAAGTTTCTCCCAGGTTCCAAGATAGTATCAATTTTCAACTGCCAAGTAAGAAGATCTGACAGACTTTCCTGTGGAGTAGGAATTTTGGGGAGACCGGCCTACCTTGCTTGTCTTGACAAAGCAGGGTAATCTATTCCCCAGTGTCTTGCTTGTCCACAGACTGGACAGGGTCTTAGCAGCAGTTAAGATGCAAGGCAATTTTTCCTGTGACTGGCTTTGCTACATTTAAAGCAAGCTCCAAATAGAAGTTCTTCAGTGGCCATCCATATAGGATGCTGCCAGGAGCTGGCACATCTCTACCATGAGAAGCCTTTTTATTAAAATGCCATATTCTCAGACCTCTGAAGCGTTTGAGGATCAGGGATGGTCATTATCTGTTAGGCATAATCAGTTTAGTGTATCTAGAAGGCAAATCCCAGTTTTCACAGGCTCAGGCCTTTAAACCCAGCACTTGGGAGGCAGAGGCAGGTGGGTGTCTGTGGTTGAAACAAGGTCTCTCTATTTAGCCAAGACTGGCCTTGAATTCATGATTCTCCTGCCTCAGGTTCCTGAGTGACGGTATTATAAGCATGAACTGCAATGACCATATTTTCCTCACAGTTCAGTAAGCTAGAAATTGAAGATCAAGGTAACAGCAGATTTGATTTCTAGGGAGGTGTGTTTCTTCGGGTTGCAGATGGGTAACTTCTAGCTCCATCCTTATGTGGCCTTTTCTTTGTCCTCACGTGTACAAACACCATCTTCCTTCTTCTCCTCAACCTTTAAAAAAATTGGGGTGGGCCTGGAGAGATGGATCAGTGATTAAGAACACAACCTACTCTTCCAGAGAGCCTAGGTTTTAATTCCTAGCACCCTTATGGTAGCTTACAACGATCAGTAAGTCCAATCTCAAGGAATCTCACACCCTCTTCTGGCCTGCAAGAAGAGGCTTTCTTCTTGTATGAAAGTACACAGACATACATACAGGCAAAACATCCATTTATACGAGTAAAATATGACAAATTTTAAATTAAAAATTACATTTATTTATTTATATATAGGAACCGGAGTTGTGCATGTGCCATGGTGTGTGTGTGTGTGTGTGTGTGTGTGTGTGTGTGTGTGTAGAGGTAGGACAATTTACAAGAGTCTGTTCTTTCTTTCCACCACGTGGGTTCTGGAGATTAAGCCTCAGGTCTTCGGGTTTAGCAGCAAGCATCTTTGCCCATGAGCCACTTCATGGGTCCCTCCTTGAAAAGGTTTAGGAAAGGCCAGCTTACCCTAAACCCACACCTCCTCTCTGGAGCCTCATCTTTCCTTAAACAAAGGGTTCTCCTTCCTTCTGATAAAAGAAGCTCTAGAGGTGTTTTATAGGTCAAAGGTTCCTTCTTCCCTGCTGGGAGAGAGGCAGATACAATGGAATAGTTTCTCTGAGAATTGACACCTGGATGATGTTTGTCAGATCAAAGGCCTCCTCCCTCCCTTCTGGAAAAGGGTCCATTATTGTTTAAAAACCAGCCCTCAGCCTGCACCTGGTGGGATGTGACTGCAGCCTTTAGATCTTAAGAACCTTATCCTCCCTTCTCTCCCAAGAGTTTTTCTGAGGCACTGCCTGCTAAGAAAATGCCCAGCATACTCTCAATACTCTTCATTGGCTTCATAAGCATGGGGATCTGCAACTTTCTCTCATGGAGTATTTATTCCCCTTCCTCCCTCCCTCCCCCTCTCCCTCCACTCCTTCTGTCCTTTTCCGGTATTGGAGACTGATCCCAGAATTCTGCTTATGTTGTAACAGTAAGCTACATCCTTGGCCCTATTATTTTGAGACAGGGTCTCTCTAATTTGCCCAGAACTGCCCATCCTCCTGCCTCATCTTCCTGAGTCTTTTTTTGTTTGTTTGAAACAGGATCTCAATATGTAGCCCAGGCTGGTCTAGAAGTGATGATCCTCCTGACTCCAGCTTAGAGACCACAGGTGTGCACCATCACGCCCAGCCTCTTGCCCGTCTTGTAAGGATGTCAATCCTACTGGATCAGGCCCTCACGTTTATCACCACATGTATCCTTGATTACATATAAGGAAGGCCCTGTCTCTAATACAGTCACATTGGTGCTAAGGGTTCCTATCTATGCTTTGGAGGAAATGCAGTTATGTCTATTACAATAGTAAACCTGATTTTAGAATTTGGGGGGTCACCTAGCTGTGTGTTTGAGATTGGAGAGCCCCCTTTGGGAGTCTCGGCTTCTCTGTCCTAACATGTGGCCAACTTTCATGGGGTTGTCAAGAGGCTGAAATGAAATTATCTTACGGATTAAAAATTCTTCCCTATACACCAGCAATGACTTCATTGCTCTTTCTATTACGGTGTCATCTTCAAAGCATGCAGCGTGACTTTCATTTTATCCTACCATTCCCCCTATGTGCAGGAGGGTGCTGGCAGCTTACAGGAGGGCCTAACGGGGATTCCCACCCTGTTCTTGCAGAAAGGGTTGGAGGAAGCTTGCAGTGAGAACACCAGTTCAGGAGAGGACATCTGTTTCCTAGCTCTTCTCACAGAAGCTGCAGAACAGCCCAAGGATGCTATTGACGACATGGATGGCCACCAGCAGAAGCTGGAGGAGGCTGATACACACGAGGGTGGAGAAGAAGGCCACGTGCCAAACCACAGCCTTAGAGGGCTCCAGGCAGATGGAGGTCCAGAGTGAATGATCATACAAATAATTCCTAGCTCCGAGAATAAACAAAAATAGCCAATCAAAGAACTCCAATAGAAAATACAGGGTTGGGGCTCCCCTGGCCCAGGTCGCAGGACTGTGCTTGTGAGGGTGACCATTACCTGTTGGGGAGATCTTTGAAGGGATAGCCAAATTTCCAAGCTTGTGTCTGATTGAAGGACGAGGTGTCGAACATACAAAAGGGACCGTCTTTCAAGGCTACTCCAGAAGTGACAAAGCAAACCAAGGCCCCCAGCAGAGCCAGGCTGCTTGACAACAGAGCAATGAGCATCTGTAGAGGAGACAGGAGACACGGCTTACACGGAACTGTGGTCACGGGACTGGTGAGGTGACACGGTCAAGTCTAGCATCTCAGGTGGCAGGCATTCTCCCACCCTATCATGGGTGTGTGTGTTTGGGGGGGGGAGACAGATTCATTTAGAACGTGTCCAAGGGTGTCTGTCCCTGGGAAAAGCCAAGAAGAAACTGACAGACATATGGATCTCCATCTCCTTCCCGCACAGGGTCTTTGGCCCCTCCAGCAGGTTGAGACCCCCTTGCTACTCTACTGCAGTCTCTGAGCTCCGGACTAGCAAAGTGGGTTTCGCATGCTCACTTTTCCCCTCTATTGACAACCTGTCATTAAAGCCACCAAAGTCCCACTCTTGATCTCTTTCAAATTAAGCAAAAAAAGAAAAAGGCGAGAAGGAAGCAGAGGAGGAGTTGGCTCGGTCAGTAGAAGACACAAATTCTGTTAGTTTATCAGAAGCCCAACACAATCACCTGGGACTGCGTAGTTGAATGTGCACTCTCTTCAACCCATCCCAGATATCCTGGGTTAGAAACCCCAGGTAAGACAAAGCAATTTATGTTTTAACAAATGCTTTAGAAAGTCTGATGTTCACCCAAGAGTCACTCGCTTAGCCAGGCAGTGGTGGCACATGCCTTTAATCCCAGCAGTTGGAAAGCAGAGGCAGGCAGGCAGAGGTCAGTCTCGTCTGCGGAGTGAGTTCAAGGACAGCCCAGAGCTACATAGAGAAACCCTGTTTCAGGGGGGAGAAAAAGAGCCACTCGCTCAGGCCAAAGAGAACAAAGTAGTAAATGAAGCGAGTGTGTGTTTGTAGGTAATGTTTTAGCCTGGAACGCAGTTGGAGGGCTTCCCGGTGTGCGTGTGGCTGTGGGAAACCAGAGCAGGTCTCGTGTGGAGTGACAGTAACGGGGCACCCATTCACACTAAATACGTATGCGCTGGGTACTTCTGTCAGCTGGACACAAACTACAACAACCGGGGAGGAAGGACGGCCAACTGAGGGTTCGCCTCCCTCGGTTTGGCCTTTAGGCACATCTGTATGGAATTTTCTTGATTGATGACCGAGGCCGTGGGGCCCAGCCCACTGTGGGTGGCGCCACCCCTGGGCAGGTGGTCCTGAGAGGTATTAGAAAGGTAGCTAACCATTAGCCTGGAAACAAGCCCATAAGCAGCACCCCTCTACGGGCTCTTCTTCAGTTCCTGCGTCCACGCGCCTGCCTTGAGCTTCTGTCCTGATCTCCCCCAGGGGTGGATTGTGACCTGGAAGGTGTGAGAGGAAATAAACCCTTTCCTTCCTAAGTTGTTTTGCTCATGGTGTTTACCACAGAACCAGAAAGCAAACTAGAACAATATATATGCATATGTCTGTATGACATGCATAGATGTGTACACACACAGACATGGAATCCAGGCTGATCACAACTACGTGGCCCAGGATGACCTTGAACTCGTGATCCTCCTGTCTCCCTATTTCAAAAGTTGGTGTTAAAAGGTGTGAGCCACCATAGCCAGCTTGGGGTGTTTGAAAGTCTATACCAGGGCAGTGGTAATTAATAACGTACAAACTTATTCTGGGCTTGTCAGTATCTGTAGAGTAAAAGAATTAGATTATAAATTGGTGGCTGGGTTATTTCTAATGGTAAGAAAAAGGTCTCTGTGCATGCAGGCACACGTGCGATCAGGTGTCTGAGTGTGTGTGGAGGGGTGTGGAGGGGTACATGTATGTGGTCTGTTTGGATTCCTCGGTTGGCTGTTTTAGTGCTGAGAATTCCCACTCCAGTACCTCATACACGCCAGGAAAATGCTCCATCACTGAGCTACATCCCAGGCCTCTAAGAAAATGTTCAACCAGCCAAGCACCAGCAGAGTGCTTCACACCAAGATTGCCAGCACTGGGGAGATGAGGCAGGAGGATGACAAGTTCAAAGACAGCTTCAAGTTACACAGCAAAAAAACCTGTCCAGGGGCTGGAGAGATGGCTCAGAGGTTAAGAGCACTGACTGCGCTTCCAGAGGTCCTGAGTTCAATTCCCAGCAACCACACGGTGGCTCACAACCATCTGTAATGAGATCTGGTGCCCTCTTCTGCATACATGGAAGGAATGTTGTATACATAATAAATAAGTAAATCTTAAGAAAGAAAGAAAGAAAGAAAGAAAGAAAGAAAGAAAGAAAGAAAGAAAGAAAGAAAGAAAGAGCGAGCCGGGAGGTGGTGGCTCATGCCTTTAATCCCAGCACTCAGGAGGCAGAGGCAGGCGGATCNCATACACGTGCATGACTAACACCATCATGTGTGTCAGGAGACCTGGGAGGAATTCAAGTCACACAGGTCAGACACAGTTCACCTGTTCCTTCCAACGGCTTGAATGATGCAAGTCAAAGAAAGTGTGAATGGGGCCGGGGGCAATTTCCTCTGGGCAGTGCCCTGAGAAACCTTCAGCAGGGGTAATATCTGTACATTAACTTCTACCCCCTTCATTTCTCTTCCGCTCTCAACCAAACCACTTGTGGGGAGCCCGGTATGCAGGAGAGAAGCAGAGGGAGAAAGCAAAGCAATTCACGCTGCCCATACCTGTGTGTAACCTGAGTTCCCCGTAAGCTGGACATCGTCTCTTCTAAATTCTGTCGTAGGTCCGCGATGTTCTTTACTGTCCGCAGCCGCCGAGCCTCGGGATCTTCTGCTGGAGGAGCAAGGGTTAAGATCAGTCTGACATCACTAGATCATGAGGCTCATTTATTCGTGTGTTGTTTTCCCAAGACAGGATTTCAGGGTGTCTCTGTGTAGCCATGGCTGGCCTGAAGCTTGCTTTGTAGACTAGGCTGGCCTTAAACACAGAGATCTGTCTGCCTCTGCCTCCTGAGTGCTGGGATTAAAGGCATGCACCAACATGCCTGGCTACAAGATGAGTTTTTTTTTTAAGATTTATTTATTTATTATGTATACAGTGTTCTGTCTGTCTGTATGCTTGCTGGCCAGAAGAGGGCACCAGATCTCATTATAGATGGCTGTGAGCCACCATGTGGTTGCTGGGAATTGAACTCAGGACCTCTGGAAGAGCAGTCAGTGCTCTCAACCTCTGAGCCATCTCTCCAGCCCTTTTTTGGTTTTTCAAGAGAAGGTTTCTCTGTGTAGATTTGGAGCCTGTCCTGGAACTCGCTCTGTAGACCAGGCTGGCCTCAAACTCACACAGAGATCTGCAATTAAAGGTGTACGCCCCCACCTCGAAGTGACCACCTCCCTTCTTACAGAGGAGTCTGGAAAAATTAAGTCACTTGCCAAGAGGTTGGAGTTGTTAAAGGACATAGCTAGGCGCTGACTTCAAGCCTGAAAACTAAAGCTGAGCCATCTTCCTCTAGAGCAGAGAACGAGAGAGCAGAGGGGTGTTAAAGGGTGGGGCTTGGTGCTTACGTGCCGACAGGGTGCTTTGTTGCTGAAGTAGCCCGTCAGGGAGATGAGAGTTGCTGCCATGAGTACCTGGAAAGCAGAGGAGTGTGTTGGGAGGAGACTACGTGGGCCTGGAGAGATGGCTCAGTGGTTAAGAGCACTGATTGCTCTGTAGGACGGCTCAGGTTTGGTTCCCAGCACACACGGAAGCTTACAACCTGTTACTCCAGTTCCAGGGAATGGAACAGCCCCTTCTGGCCTCTGAAGGTTCCGGCACCCACATGGCCCACATCCTTACATATGTACGGTCAAAACACCCATACACATAAAAATAAATGAATCTGAAAGAAGAGACCAGGGGATTTGCATTTCTAGCTGCCACACACAGCTGTTGAAATGAACGTAGGGCCTGAACTTAGGGCCCAGGTTGAACTTAGCCTGTTTTGACTCTGTTGATGCTGACATCCATCTAGCCTTAATGGTTCCGAGCTAAAACCCAGCAACCCATGATAAATCCCCCTATTCCTTGGGCTGTTTATGAACCCAATACCAATTTGTTGGAACACCCTGACCACCACCACCTCCCAGTTCCATCCCTGAAACCCTTCGCCTACCATGAATCCTCCTCCCCAGAGCCCAGCACCCAGCATGGCATGCTTGCCAATGAGGCCCCTCGTCAGGTAGGTCGTATCCCAGTTAGGAAAGAGGAGTGCGATGTTGGCCCCGGCGGCAAACAGCGATGCAGTTCCTAGGCTCAGCCCAAGGAAGCGGGAGCAGGTCCGTGAGCAGGCTACCACACGGGGAAAGGACAGCATCCTGGAACGATGGGAGACAGTCACAACAGAGCCAGGGTGGGAGTACCCAACAGGACACGGATGGAGATGGCTTCTGAGGAGAGGTCATGTTGAGGACAGCTGAGACACTTTTCAAACACACTGCCTTGCTAAGTCTTCCATAATAATTGGAGTTACAGACTCCATTTTCTGGCAAGCTTCAACCACACATATTTCTACAGTCCATTTTGTATGTGCCCTATTATAGCCAGAGATTATTTCTCATTTTTTTTAAATTTTTACATTTTCTTCAGTGTGTGTGTGTGTGCGTGTATGTGTGTGCTCACACACACATGTGCATATGTATGTGTGTAGGGGCATTCGTGTGACACATCACATGTGTGTAGTCAGAGAAAAATATAACAATTTTCTTTCTTTTATGATTTACCTATTTTATGTCTATGGATGTTTTGTCTGCATGTACATCTGTCTGCACGCTAGAAGAGGTCGACCGATCCTCTAAGACTACAGGTATAGATGGTTTGGAGCCACTATGTGGGTGCTGGGACTCGAACCTCTGAAAGAATAGCCAGTGCTCTTAACCACTGAGCCATCCTTCTAGCCAGAGGCTAATTTTCTTTTTCTTTTTTGTTTGTTTGGTTTTCAAGACAAGGTTTCTCTGTGTAGCTCTGACTGTCCTGTAGACCAGACTAACTGCATAATCACAGAGATCCACCTGCCTCTGCCTCCCTAGTGCTGGGATTAAAGGCGTGCACCACTACCGCCCAGCCCAGAGGACAACTTTCAAGAGTCTGTTCTCTCTTTCCATCATGTGGGTCCCAGGGATTGGACTCAATTTGTAAGGCTGTTGGCAAGCACCTTTACCTACTTACTGGGTTATCTCAATAGACTGTTTCTATCCAATAAAGCTTTTTTGTTGTTGTTTGTTTGTTTGTTTTTTTCAATATTTATTTATTTATTTATTATGTATACAATATTCTGTCTGTGTGTATGTCTTCAGGCCAGAAGAGGGCACCAGACGCCATTACAGATGGTTGTGAGTCACCATGTGGTTGCTGGGAATTGAACTCAGGACCTTTGGAAGAGCAGGCAATGCTCTTAACCACTGAGCCATCTCTCCAGCCCCTATCCAATAAAGCTTTTAAAGGGGCCATCAAGATGCCCATTCTCCATGCTTAAAGTCAGCGGTATTCTTTGATGATGTTGTTTGTTTTTTTGAGTTGGGGTCTCACTGTGTACCCTTGGCTGTTCTGGAACTCAGTATATAGCCAAATTCTCAAACTCTGAGAGATATATCTGCCTCTACTTCCCAAATGCTAGGATCAAAGAAAGGCATGTATCCCCACACCTGACTGTCAGNGAAAAAGAGAGAGAGAGAGAGAGAGAGAGAGAGAGAGAGAGAGAGAGAGAGAGAGAGAGAGGGAAAACACTTCTTCCCACCATGCTGGGTTTGCTTTGTTTTTGTTTTTCCCTTGCACTCAGTTCCACATTGTCTTGTGACTCAGGCAGTCTTCCCTCTGCAGATTATCTTGCTATTTAAGGGCAGTGCTCTGCTTTCGACATTCACCCACTGTCTCTCAGAGGACGGATTTTGTCATGGCCTGTAAGGACTGCTATGTTACTGAGTATTCAGGAATGCATTTTGAACCTGGCCCTTTAGCACCTGCTCATAATCACCTGTAAGTGAAGTGTATTGAGACCCCCAATGATCAAAACCAAATTTTCCTGTTTCTTCTCAGGAAAGGGTTGAAAATTATCGAGCCTGAGCCAGACATGGTAGCATACACCTAGAACCTCAGACTTGGGAAATAGAGGTTCAAGGTTATCCTCCACAAATTGAGTTTGAGGTCAGCTGTGGCTACAAGAGACCGTGTCTCAAAAACTCTCAAACCAACCAAACAAAGACTCTCGGTTAATATTGAACTTGAATTTCAGATAACCAACAAATGAAAAATTCTTGAAGTCAGGCATGATGGTGTGTACCCATTAACCCAGCTCCTTGTTGGAAGCAAGAGATCTTGAGTTCAAGACTAGCCTTGGCTACATAGTATATTGGAGGCTAGCCTAAATTAAAAAAAAAAACAAATTTAGACAAATTAGAGGAAAAAACTACAAACCTAAGTGTGGTCTTTTGGGTGAGTGGAATTCAGAGAACCCCTCTAACTGAACACAGTGGGCTCCCAGTATCTAGTGAGTGCCAAGCTAAATTTAGTACGTAAGATGTGAGAGAGTGAAGGAAGACGTGTTATTACATGTACAGTCCAGGACAGCAAATGCGGCCTCTGCATAGTATGCAGAAGCACACATGCATGCTATGTATGTATGAACGCTTAGTTAGATCATTCTGAGGAAGCTTAAGTCATAACCTAAAATAGAAATCTAGACATATTTTGGGGGGTGCACATATGTAGAAGCAATGGACAGAAATGTCTCTGGGCATGCTCAGCTTGCAACAAGAGTTTAAGTGAAAACAGAGGACAGGGGTCCCTGAAGGAGAATTAACCAAAGAGTCTGCCCCTGAGGGTGCCAGCCTTGCTTAGTCACTAATAGCCCTCGGCTGGCCTGCACCTCGGACTCTGCAGCAAGAACAGGGAGGTCCTACTCTATCTAAAGAGAAAGGGGGCTGAGCCGTGGTTTGACTTTCACTTCCTCTCCATGACCTTTCCCTTAGAAATCACAATATTCTGAGAAATCCTTCCAAATACTTGAGTCAGAAGATTAGTAGAGAGGTGGGCTCGGTTCCTTGTGAGTAGAGACAGGCAAGATCAGGTCAACTTTGAGTTTATTTCTTTTGCCAGGGTCTCTTGTAGCCCAGGTTTGCTTAGTCCCGATTGGTTTCCTGCCCCGACCTCCCAAGCGCTGGGGTCTCAGGCATGCACGTTTATGCCCCATAGGTCAAATCTCAAAATTAGGCTGTAGAGGAGGCCCGTGTTCAAACCTGAGGTGAAGGCTGATGAGCCAATCAAACATCAGCCACCGTCTGGGCACAGGGACCGTTCATTGTCTCAGAGCGAGAGTACAAATTCTGTGTTTCTTCCACCTTTCCCTTCCCATCAACCAAGCCCCATCTTTGCCTGGTACTGTGCTAGAGCCTAGGGAGACAAACGTGGAAAAACACAGTCCCTTCCTTGGGGACTATAAAGCTAGGCAGAACAGGCAAAAAGCAAGGAGAAGGACGTGGTCTATGTATTACAAGATTGGTGCTCTTCGCTAGTACGCCCTGCCGCCCTGCCGTTCTTGGACACCATTTCATCGGACCCTTTCATCTAGACTTACCTGTGTCTGAAGACAAAAGTCAGAATGGGAGAACAAGAAAGTGGAGGGCGCTCTGTTCAAAAGGGGCCTTGGCTCCTGCAGTCCCAGCCAGGACTCCTAGAAGGCCTGGCTTGCAGGGTCAGGAAGGGACTGTATATATAGAGAGAAGTCACCTGGGCATTCGTGCGTGAGTGGGGAGTGGGCCCACAGCTGCCCACAGGCTGCCACTGAAGGATCATTTTGTCACATAGGCGAGCCCTATGCTCATGACCCACTCCCTGCTCATTTTCATGTGATCCCAAGGAAGGAAACGAGGGGCGTGATCTCATGAGCGCAATGGTTTTAAAGCGTCACTGGACGCAGCCGGGAGAACTACCTCAGCCTCCACCACTACCAGTGCGCCTCCCCCACACCCACTGCACCCACCGGCCTGCTGTATCATCCTCGCTTGTAGAATCTGGACTCCATGGGCGCAGCAATGAGCACAACCTACCCCTTTTCTTTCTCTCCCCACTTGCTTGGCCTCACAGGGCAGTTCTTCCTTTCCTGTTCAAGCACCAGGCACCACCACCCTTAGTATCACAGTCACAACAAATGTGGTCTGCTGTACTGCTAGGGGAGCTGCAGACTTGTCCTAGATAAGGTCCTAGTCAAGCCCCTCCCCCGCCAGATGTGGATGCTCCCCGTGATCCGAAGAGAGAAGTGGAAACAGGAGCTCTGTCTCAAAAGCAAAAATAAAGCAAAGAGTTTAAAATAACTTCGTGCCATATTTACGGCAAAGATGACAACTAATATCCAAGAATTAGTGTGTCTTTTATTTTTTTCTAGAAACTACCCAAGTAATATTTCCCCTTAATTTTCTTTCTCATACTTAGCAGAGATAATTACAGGAGGCAGAATGCACTGTATTTGGCTCTTGGTCATAGTGACCAGCTTAAGAATTTTTAGAAAATAGAAATAAATTCACAAACTCAGGAAGGAGAGGGACATAGAAATCTCTTTTATAATTATTATTATGTAATGTGTACAGGAGTTTTGTCTGCATGCACATCTGTGTGTGCCCGGTACCTGTGGAAGCTAGAGGACATGGGATCCCCTGACACTGGAGTTATAGATGGTCGTGAGCTACTGTGTAGGTACCCTGAGTCAAACCCAGGCCCTCTGGAAGATCGGCCAGTGCTCTTAACTGTTTGAACCACCTCCCCAGGCCCAACCACAGACATTTTAATCACTCAATGGCCTTGTGCAATGTTTCCTGGGAACTTTAGTTCATGCAACTGGTCCTAGAACAGTGGTTCTCAACTGGGGGGTCGCACATGACCCCTTTGGGCTCACACAACCTCTTCACAAAGATTGCATGAAAAAATGCAGATATTTACATAATGATTCATAGCAGTAGCAAAGTTACAGTTATAAGGTAGCAACAGAAATAATTTTATGGTCGGGGGTTACCACAACACGAGGTATTAAAGGGTTGCAGCATTAGGAAGGTTCAGAACTACTGTTCTACAGGGTGAAGGCCGTATCTTACTTGATCTGAATACACTGAACCCAGCATGTTAGAAGTTCAAGATTCATTTTACTAATGAATGTGCCAAATAAAGTAACACAGTCTCTGGTCAGACCTTACTTCTGTTGATGAAACAAAATGATTAAGAAAACCCCTATGTGTATGGATCTGAGTATGTGCATCACAGGCATGCAGTACCTGTGGAGGCCAGAAGATGGGGCCAAACCCCTCTGGAACTGGGGTTACAGGTGGTTGTGAGCTGCCTGTTATGGATGCTGGGAACCAAACCCTGCAGAAGAACAGGGAGTGCTCTTGACTGTTGAGCCTTCTCTCCAGCCCTAGTTTAAGTTTTTTATTATTGTATTTATTTATTTATTTATTTATTTAGTTTTGTTTTGAGACAGAGTCTCACTGTATAGATCTGGCTATCCTAGAGCTTACCTTGTAGACTAGGCTGGCCTCAAACTCACATAGATCTTCCTGCTTCTGCTACCCTAGTGCTGGAATATAAGGTGTGAGCCACCACCCCATGGGTGGGGGTCTCTACAAACACCAGGGTCAGCAGAGTAATGATCCATGAGAATCTGGTGTGGTCTCCATCATACAGATAGTATAGAGAGCATCTGGGCCACCTCCAGTCCTGGTTGTGGGAGCTTGGTATGGTCTGGTTGAACAGATAGCATACATCACCAGGTTATTAACTAGCTCCATTCCCAGGGTTTTGGATGAAAACCAAGTTATCTTTCCTGTTGAGGAGACAATTTTCCGTGTTTAACATTCTTGAGTCCCCTAGTGCTAACCTATGAGCACAAGGATCTTTATGTTCCCATCAACTTCCAACTAAGTCTTAAACTGTATACCATCTGGGCTTTTCTCTTCATTGCCCTGGTACTCAGTATGTTTTCCTGGTGGTTGTGAAGTCAGGCAACTTCCTGCCTTATTCTCCTTTGTATTGGGATTAAGGTGGTCTCCATATGCATTATGTAGGTATGTTTATATATGCAAATTTGTACATGCCTGTAGAAATTTTCATTAAACAGAACCTAAGTTGGGTATGATAGTATGTGCCTGCAGTCTCTGGTACACAAGAGATTATCAGCCTGGGCAGCATAGGGAAGCGACCACTCCAAAACCAAGTACAGCTTAGTCTCCATTTCATTATAAGGAGCAATAATTTAGAGCTTAAGATAATTTCCCATCTTCCCAGAAATTTGAAATTCAAGAGATACCAGGCTGAGTATAACCATCCTGGCAAGAATGAGAACATTTTCACCCCCAAGACAGTGTTTCTCTGTGTAGACCAAGCTGGCCTCAAACTCACAAACATTGTACCTGCTTTCACCTCCCAAGTGGTGGGATTAAAGGTGTGTGCCCACTGCCTGGCTTGTGAGCAGTAACAAAGCATGACCTGTAGAATAAGGGAAAGGGCTATAACTAGCTTTAAGATGTGAAGAGCAGAGTTGAGTGGAGAGCTTGGAATGGCAGCTGGGGCACTGCTCCTTGGGTCAATTTGTGACAACTAACAAACAACACAGTAGAGAAACCATATGCTCAACGGGCAAAGGTACTTGCTTTCAATGCTAAAGATCTCTGAGGCCCACATGGTGGAAGAGAATTGGTTCCTGCAAATTGTCCTCTGACCCCCACACAAGTGCTGTGACACTTTCACACCCACAAAATAAATGCAACTTTCAAATTTTTATAAACAAACTATATACATACTTGCAATAAACAAAGGCCAGAATTAGGTCAGTTTCCTCATCCAGCTCAGCTTTGGGAAGCAACAGAGAGCTGGTCACCATCCTTTCACAGATGTGTGAGCCTCAGACTTTGGCTCTTAGAGGCATGGTCTAGACCTCATTTAGCCAGAGCATTTGTACATCAGATTATGAATAGGGCTGGGGTGGGAAGGTTAATGCCATAGAAGGCTTGTCAGGTTGGAAGGCCTGGGAATAAACAAGACAGACAGAAGTTCCGTTCTCAGGGTACTGAGGTGGGGTCTGAGACAGGAGAAGGGGAAGTTAAGACAACAGGATTCGAAGGAAGGGAAAGAGGAAAAGACAGGCCCAGCAAGCCAGCTGTTTTCCAGTCTTCTTCAGAGTGACTAATCCTCCCCCGCTGATGGCTGACAGAATAGAGCACATTCCTTTAATTGGAGGGAGGAAAAAAGGAAGTTTCAAGAGGCTGAAAGAGATGCCACTGGTCACTTGGGTGTTTTCCTTCCTCGGTATAAAAATACTGAAAACTTGAGCCCACTCAAGCTCGGCTTCATTCCCAGCACACTGAAACTGCTTTTGGTTTCACTCTAGTGAACACCTCACTGACCCCTTTACTCAACCCCTGCCTCACTAGATGTAGATGGACATCCTCCCTGGCATCTCTCCCTCCACTCTAGCTGTACCTCGTGGGCAGTCTCTTTGCAGGGTGATCCTTAGGCTTTGGACCTTCACTTCCCCTCCAGGGAATCTCGTTCCCTCTCAGCACTGAGCTCCACATATACTGGTGTTTCTTGGCTCTAACTCCAGTTCACCTCTCCCTCTAGCTTGACTCTTGGGTCCAGTTTCCCACTCTGTGTCTGTGAAGAGAGGCTAGCACACAGAGAAAGTTTGCTCTTGTCAATCATGTCTGATGCATTCAGCAAGGTGCCCACCTGTCAGAAACAGTTCATTTCGTTTTTCTCATCATCTCAGATCAAACTGCAAACTCACCACATGCCCAATCGGCTCCCTCAAATTCTCTTTCCCTCTCCACATTCTTTGCATTTACTCTCCTGCTCCTGATGAGTTTGTCAGCCTTCATTCAGGTCTCAGCATGAAAATGAACTCAACAGGTTACCCTCTTCCTATCCTGGGTACAACCTTGAATGGAGTAGACAGTACCTTACCAATGCTTATTATCCCTATACCCTCAATATTCTAGTGAAAACAAAAACCCCCACAGGTTCCTTTTCATACCTTGGCAAAATCCATGACTTCACCCATTCCTTGAGGACAGGGACTATGTCATTTTACCACCTTACACCGTTTGTTTTTTCACTTTTAAAACTTATTTATTTCTATGTGTATTGGTGTTTTGCCTGCATACATGTCTGAGGATGCCAGATCTCCTGGGACTGCTGTTACAGACAGGTGTGAGCTGCAATGTGGGTGCTGGGAATTGAACCTGGGCCCTCTGGTTAAGAGCACTGGCTGTTCTTAATCATCTCCAGTGACCTGTTGCTCACTTTTTGAGACAAAGTTTCATTCTGTAGCCCAGGATGGCTTTCAATTTGCAGCAATCCTTCTGCTTCAGCTTTCAAACTTGCAGGAATCACAGATGTTTTGGAATATGGTAGTCTAGTACTTTGGACACTAAGAATCCAAAGGGGGGAAAAAAGAGAAATACAAACTGACCCTTGGTGAGTTAGGCAACACTACAATGTCTAATATACAACATAATCATATCTCCTGATTTCTTTGCCCATTTAGTAATTATTTTCCCTCCATTTGTTTAAATGGAGTTTTTAGGTTGTTTGTTTTTGAGGTAAGAGCTCACGTAACCCAGGCAGGCCTCAAACTTATGATGTAGCTAAAGATGACCTAGGACTACTAATGTCTCTGCCTCCAAGTGCTAGGATTACAAGGAAACACCCACCATATCCATCTTAGCTGATTTTCATTATTATTGGTCTGAAAGAGTAAACATTTCATTGCCCAAATTTGTTAAATGTATAAATGCACTTTCAAGGCTTATAGCTAACCCACTGCTTTCAGAACACTTTAACTGAAATGTTCACTATATTATTAAGGATGGACAAAAACAAGAGCTAAACCATCTGACGAATACAAACCAATCATCTTAGTTTTTTATTTGTTGGTTGATTTGTTTAGTTTGGTTGTTTAAGACAGAATCTCTCTATGCCCCTCGCCCCCCAGTGTTAGAACTAAAGGCGTACACCACCATGCCTGGCAGTTTTTCGAGAGTGTTTCAGGTAGCCCTGGCTAACCTTGAACTTGCTATATAGCCCAGGCTGGCCTTGAACACCTGATCCTTCTGCCTCAAAGTACTAAGAAACCAAGTTTCTAAGAACACATGAGAATTTAAGAACAAACTTTGGAATCTGAATTACATAAATAAAACTATCCATTACTTGGCAAAAACAATGACACCAAAAACTAATACTGAAAAGTTTTTGTTTTTATTTCCAAGATCAAATATTACAACAGGACATTTACATGTATTTATAAAAAAAATGCAGCAGTTAAATTTATAGGTAAGAGGTTTCCTTGAGTTTGGTCCCTCTCTCAGCACAGTGAGCTGACGTCTTCAAAAGACTTCTTCATTCCATTCCCCTCCCTTCCCCACCCTGCTGCACCACCCACCCACCCCAACTCAAGTTGCAATATTAATATAAAGCAACTGGGTACAACACATCAAATATTCACAATTTGGTACAGCCCAAGCCAGGAAATCATCAACAGAGAAATCCTGACTTCAGAAAGCATTTGCCTATAGCCTATGTGTGTCCACGGATATGTCACGGCCAAGTGTCTAACATGCCCTACGTTCAGAGCAAGTGGAGCCCAGTGCGTCTCAGCCACGAGTTACAGCTCCTGTCTCTGTGTGCCTTTTGATTTCAGGCTTCCCCTAGCACTTTACAATCACACGAGTATCTTGACAAAATCTTCAGTGGATGGTGCAATTTTCCCTTTTCACTGGTCTCGAAGCCTTCATTCCAACTTGAGGAAGCATTCTAACAATAAATGATCTCCTAGTACTGTGGAATTAATGCCCAGAAACCTGAAAACTAAACACCCATAGTAGGAAGCACTGGTCAGAAACACATCACAGGAGCTAGTTCTGTTCACTATTTTCTTAGATTCAGCAACAAGCTGAACTATAGATTAAATTTAGAACCTGAATAAGAATTCAAATCTCAGTAAGACCACCACTTTGTCCAGGGCAAACTGAGCACACAAACAGCCTAGGAAATATCTAAACACTGTGTTAAGAACTGCTAGAAAAACACTTGTAAAGTAAATACCCCAAATTGACTTCAAATACCTCTTGATAAGAAAGGAATCGAGGTTTGGAAAAAGACATGAGAGACATGTTTAAAAACACAAATAGCGAAGACGTGCCAGAACTGGGCATCCCAGATGATTCTAAATGCATTGTTCAAACTGAACTCTTACAAAACATGCAAAGATCACAAATACTCTGAAAGTTTCCACAAAGCAACACTTACTAGAAAAAGGACTTTCTTAACAGTTAAGGAGAAAGGGGGGTGGGGGTGGGGAGGTCTAGATCCTTAGACTTTGTCAATAACAGAAAAATTGTTTGGAAAAAAAGAATTCTCAGGAGTGAAAAACTTATGTCCAATATTCATGTCAACACCCCAAAGTCTACATATGATGTCAGTATCAAACAGCGCTCATCTCTCCACATCCGAGGGTGGAGGTTATCTCATAGCTGTCGTGTCTGCTTGCCAGGGGCTATGAACAGCCGTTATGAACTGGAGAGGTAGACCTACAAAATAAGGTGCAAGTCTCCCAAAGCAAGCTAAACAGCTCCCATCACAGGCTTGTCATGAAAAGTGGGGGTCACAGGCTACTTTCTCTAATTAGCTGGTAAAGCTGGGGGCTCTCTGGAGGCAGCACAACAACACAGACAGAAGTATATGATTAGCTTCATAAGCCTATTTGCATTTTGAATCACATCATTTAGTATTTGACATTTTATTGGTAAAAAATTGTGAGAAAAGCACACCATAAACTCATTTTGTTGAAAACATGGTATCCAACTGAATATAAGTATTCTGTCATTAGCTTGAAATTCATCCTGGGGTCACACACTGTAACATCAGCAATCTTGACACAAGAAAGAAATCAGCACAAGAGTGAATGGTTCCTATCAGTTAAGATTCCCAAACGAGCCCATGAATAAAATTAAAAGGAATCTGAGAAAGGGAAAATTTCAGGCCAGAACTTCTCACTTAAAATAGTCCCCAATTTTTAATAATCAATAACTGACTCTTGCTATCCTAGATTAAAAACCGTTCTTGGTAATGCTTGGGAATCCAACCAGGATCCTGAATACACACCAGCTCGTAACTTTCTCTCTCTTGGAGACAGGTGATTAGGCATTACCTATTGACCCTGTTTAGCTGGGCTCTTCTTCCCACTGGAAAACCTAAGTGACCTTATAAGGCATATAAAACCTTAGAGCAATTTAATTGCTAGTAGCAGTACCATTATACAATAAAGGTCTGCTGATAACTGCCAAAGAATTAAATGCAATGATGTAACTTCCCGTACTTCTAATGTGGTTGTTCTTAGGCAAATTACTATTACTGGTTCTCTAAAACAAATTTTTCATTTTATTTACTTTGTGTGTATGACTGTTTTGCCTAAATGTATATTTGTGTACCACATGCATACCTAGTGGCCTCAGAGGTTAGACAAGGGCATCAGATTCCCTGGGACTTTAGTTATGGATGGTTGTGGCCTACCACGTAGGTATAGGGAAATAAACCCAGGTCCTCTGCAAGGGCAGCATGTACTCTTAAGTGCTGAGTCATATCTCTGGCTCTATAATTTCTGGCTTCTTATAAAATCAAACCTAAACTCACTATATAAACTGGTAATTCCACATCTCACTATTTTCCTCCAGAGCAGTAAGACCTGTGTTCATACAGTCACTATTTGTGGTACTGTAGTAGTTTTAATTATAATTCTTGATAGACTGCATTTAGCTGGAACTAGAAGAGCATTGTGATGTACAAATACATGCCACAGTAAAGTACAGGTATATTCAATAAAGGATGAGGCAAGGAGAATTTTATTTTTGAGTCAAGATCTTGGAATATAACTTCACACTGACATGGAACTACCAATCCTCCTGCCTCAGCTTCTGATTCAGAAGAGTTGGATTCCCTAGAATTGGACTTAGACAGTTGTGGGCTGCTATATGGTTTCTGGGACTTGAACCCAGGACTTCTGCAAGAACAACTGCTCATCTCTCCAGCCCCACAAGCAAATTTCTGTAAACTTCTTCACTATGTTTAATCAAGTAATCAGTACATATGGAGAACCCAAGTTTATTTTGGGTTATATGATGTAAGGGCTGTATTAAAAACAGCCAAAATTCATCAGGTTAAGCCAGGTGTATTATATAACCCCAGAAGAGCTCAAGGCCAACCTTGAGTGTGCTTTAAACTAAGTACTGGTTTAGTAGTTGTGTCTTTAAAAACCAAAATATTTAAGAGAATGGTGAGGTTTAGGTAGGGCAACCAAAAATCTATAAATAAACAAAGTGCCCTGGGGGGCTTATTATAGAGTCAGCCATCCTCTTACTTGGAATGTGAATTCTCCTTAGGAAGAAAGAAGCTGTAAAAAGCATATTTGCCTCAATATATTCCCTTCTATATTAATTAATAAAAAATGAGAAGCCGGGTGGTGGTGGCGCACGCCTTTAATCCCAGCACTCGGGAGGCAGAGGAAGGCGGATCTCTGTGAGTTTGAGGCCAGCCTGGTCTAGAGAGTTGTGAGTTCTAGGAAAGGCTCCAAGGCTAGAGAAACCCTGGAGAGGGAGAGAGGGAGAGAGGGAGAGAGGGAGGGAGGGAGAGAGGGAGGGAGGGAGAGAGGGAGGGAGGGAGGGAGGGAGAGAGAGAGAGAGAGAGAGAGAGAGAGAGAGAGAGAGAGAGAGAGAGAGAGCGCGCTAATTTTTGGAGGAATTAGGTGAAAGACAGGCATGGTGGCTAACTGTAATCCAAGGAAGACCCAGAGGTTCCTGGTTATGTTTAACTACACAGTTACTTAAGAGGCCAGCCTGATCCAGACAGCCAAGACTACTTACAGAAACTGTGTCCTGGGTGAGGGGGAGGTTAGCCTGAACTACATAAACGTTTGAAAACGAAACAAAATAAGACAAAAAAGAGAATGGAGAAGAAAGATTAAAAGGTAGTTTCACTTCAGGGATTCATCATATCCAATAACCTAGGCACCCAAGTTCTTTAATGGAGAAACTAACCAAGGCTATAATAATCTCTACTCTTAAAAATAAACAAACCAAATACCTCTTAATTCTAAGCTGTCTCATTACTGGGACTAACACGAAGGTGAGTCTAAAATACAAATAATCATCACTGAAATATTAAATCTTTGTATTACAGGAGAAATCAATATATTAGAATGGTACTCTTTGGTTATTTTGAGGTCTAAAGAACATTCCCGCCCCATTCTAAAATGTGAACTAGGGATTCTGAGTTTCATAGTAAACAACTGAAATATCAAGTAAGGCAAACCAATAATGTTGAATATTCATTCACCGCCCAATGGCCTTTAGGTATCTGCTCAAGGATAGTGGTTCCTCAGGTGGTAGAGACTGAAAGCAGCAGCCTACTCATTAAGGCTGAAGCTGCTGGAAAAGTGTGGCCCGAGAGGCTGATTCTTCCTATCCTCATTACTTTTCAAGTTTTAGTTTTACGCAAGGCATTACTCATAAATTTGTACTCCATAATTTACTATTAAGGAAGTAAACAAATGATCTCTAAACGGTGTGACACTACAAAGATCCCCTCTACAGGACAAGAACTATTTTAAACATCAGCTTAATGGAAAATTGAAAAGGTCACATCTGCCCAAACCAAGTGTGAATTTCCCAACTTACACAACTGCTGAGCCAGTCTAGCTTAAAGCACACAAATTCAGTTCCAGTGCTGGAGACACCTGCTTCACACTCACATTTCAGTCATTCTTAAAACTCAGTAGGCGTACAGCATTAAGCTTTTAAAAGGTAACTGGCTGTTTCAAGATCACTAGATCTGTATTCTGTACTCTGTGATTTCATCATCACAGTGAGGTCTATAAGAGATTGGGTAAAAGATACTTGGACACAGGAAAAAAATGAAAGGAACTGATTAACAAGTACAGTTTTAACACTTTAATTAGTCTGAGAATGAAAAAGGGAGAGACCAGATGCATAATACTTTGGGGATATTTTTATCTGTAAGGGTTATGATTCCAGGCACAGTTCCTCCATGAGGTTAATTCTACTAGTAGTTAACCCTATCCTTCTCCACTCATGTCAAAACTTAAAAACATCTAAAGTCCTCTGACTTGAAAAGACAGAACTAATCTAGTCCAATTCTGTTTTTCTTTTTTCTCGATTCTGTTTTTCAAACAAGAAATTCTAGAGTCAGAGAAGGAAAGTAGCTTGCCAAGATAACAAGAAGCAAAGTTGTTACCCAAGTGTACTAAGCCCACCAAGATCAAACACCATGAATTTGATCAAACACCATGAATTGTACCCAAGGAGAGAAATCCTGCCTTAATTTTTCAGGAGCCCTCTGGTATTTTTCTCTAGTGTTCAAGTGAGATTCCTGCTAATTAAAGAACTGCTAGTACTGGAGTTTAAAATTCTTTATTACTTGGACAAAGGTCTTTACTTACGGATAAACTTAATGCTTCAAATCTAGTATTTTAAAGAGGCAGTCAAGAATGAGCCACAGCACCTGGGAGAACATCCCTAATTAAACCTACACGATCCTTCCCTCCTGAGTTCCTATTATCACAGTTCAACCCTGAAAGGGGTAACACTCACCTTCCTGCTGTTATCCATGTATACAGATGATTCCTTAATTGGATGAAACAGTTCAAAGAGATCTTAGCTTTCAAAATATTTCCGATGTAGACTACAGACTCAATAGGGTGCTAATACAGTAGAGTTGTATGCAGGACAAAACAAAAAGATATAAAAACAAAGGTTGTTCAATAACCTATCATGAATAACCTATCAGAAAAGATAATTGTATCTTCTTTTTTTAAAAAAAAATCTTTCTATGGTTTCCATCTATTCTTGGCAAATAATGCTGCAGTTATTTTCCTTACTGAATTATTTTTAAAAAACAATGGATAACTGTCTGTTAAAAATGGCATAATTAAGATTTTATAGGGATAGTACAAATCCCACAATCTTGACCCCAACTATCCCTTCCAGCTTTAAGGAAACAAAAACCTTTAGCTGACAAAGCTGAAAAATAAGATGACCTTATTGTTATAATATATTATAATAAAGGGACTCCAACTGACGTGGGATAACATACCACACAAGGGTGAGAGAACAGACTCTGGGCTCTAATTTTAATGTGACCCTTACCAGTAATGACATGTTGAACAAGCTGTACGAATTCCAGTTTTCTTCCTCATTTATAAATGAGTAGAATATACTGTGTAGGGATTGCATGAAGACTGAAGGAGGAAACACACACATGTCTCACACAGCACACGCTAGCTACCCACAACCAGTCCTGCTCTGCCCTCAGCTGGTACTGTGCTCACGTTCAGACAGCATTTCTTTCACAAGTTTTCATTCCCTTTCTTTATATGTCACTCTCAAGTTTATCTTGTCCCTTTCCTCCTTACTTTAAAAACTTCTGAGCTATGTCTACTACCTATAGGGAATCACTATGTTTAACTAACACAGACTTCATTTGACTGTCCAGTAAAAGCTCCCCCTTGAAAGAAAAACAACATGCAGAAGAACAAAGACAAACTTCTTACATAAACTAAATACTTGAGCAAGGCAATATTTCCATTTATTTTTCTCATGTATATCTATAACTCTTCCTCCCATGGGCCAATCCTGGTCAAAATGAGTAAAGTCCCCCACAGCTCATCATCCTTACTAAGCTTGATATATGTGTAGTGCCTTGTCTCTTAACACACATATATACTCAGTCATCTTAATTTCTCATAAATGGATTTGCCAATGCTAAGTATATTTAAAAAAAAAAAAAAAGAACTGCATACACCCTCTCACTCTCAACATCCTGCCTCAGGTTCTCAAGACAGGTTACTCTATAGAGAATGAGGCAGAGTCCTGGAAGGGACAACTCTTGACTGGTTTGGGCTTTAGCTGGGCTTATGCTAGGAGTGGAGACGGTGCCAGCATAGCAAAGCTGAGAATGCTCTCACTTTTACCCTGGGGCTCCCGGAGGCTTTAGGCTGCTTTCCTTGACTATTAGTTTTGTACATTTGAGAGTACACAGCTCCATTCCTCAGTCAGTTTTTATTCAAGTTCAAAGCTACAACTGAGGAATTACCATGCTTGCTCAATAAATCCAAACTGTTGGTTAAGCCTCAAGCGCTATAAAAACACCAAAGTGGTATTATTCAGTCACCAATCTAAAGAGAGAACTTTGACTCAAAAGTATAAATGAAATTGTAATTATATAAATATATTTATAAATATTTATACAATTATATACTTATACATAAGCACTTACACAGACTTAGAAAAAAATGTAAGAACATTAATTCAAAAGGACTCACTGAAAAATAACAGAATTTCCCATGATTTCCTTGAGGAGATACATAACCCATTCTTTAGGGAGGTCCCTCAAAATCCAACCATTAACAACCATATTCTACCATCGCACACTAGAAACATACCACATCCCTTAGCTTATCTTTTTAACCCCTAGTTACCAAGAGAGCAACCTGCAAGGACACAGGAACCCAAAGGTCTCTGAGCAATCACAATTTATGTTCCTCAAGTACAAGAATCAATCGAAATCTCCAATTGACAAGACAGGTCAATCCTATAGAAATGGTTTTATAAGCAGTTTCAAGTTTTATTTTCCCACCAATCACTACTGTTCTGCTGGAGCACTCTATCTAAAAGCTCAAGAAAGAACTGAGCACAGAGTAAAGCTGATGATAATATAGTGCTATATAAACTCAGGTGGCCTCTTCTAAATAATACTGAAAAAAAGCTTTCACCAAATACAACTTGAATGTTGACTTGTTGGCAGAAAAAGACTCACATCTGACGGTTACTGGTAATGTCCTTCTTACTAACTGTTGTCTCATGAACTGGGTTTTAAGGTCTTCCTATCAGAGACTTTCAGTTTTAAAATTTTATAGAATAAAAGAACATGAGGAATTTAGTTACCAGAGCACTTTAGAGTATTTCCAATTGGGGGTAAACAAAATCACTATTTCTAACCAAAAGAACATCTAGCAACTCTCAGCTGCAGGCTACCCCACCCTGCCCACCCCCCCCAACCCCGGGACATACCTAAGTATGCCTTAAGCACATAGGACAATCAATAACCATAGTGTTTACAATTATAAGCCATTGTACTACATGATTATTGAACACCTGCCTTCCTACAGAACACTACAGACTCAGACAATGAAAACAAAGGAACTAATTGGCTGTGCAGGCAAAAACAGCAAGCACCTTCCTACCAAGCCCAGATACAAGATGCTCACTAAAGGTTCATCCCAGGACTGGAAAGAGGAATATAACTAATAGAGCAATAATAAAGAAAACTGTCTCAGGTTAGAACACTGAAAGCCACCCTGGCTATACAATACACTAAGCACTCATTCTGCCAATAACACACATCATGGAAATAACTCTTGTAACTGGAAGATGGGAATCTTGGAGGGAAATTTTAAATATGATGAGCAATAGTATAAGGGGATCATCTCCCACATAAACAAAAGCCTGGATATCTTATTAAGAGACCTTTTTATATGAAGAACAATTTCTTTTACCTACCAAAAATGGGGTTGTTTTTAAATTCTGATTCTAGCCATTCTTTGTCATAGGAGTCTATGGTTAACATCACTAGATACCAAAAAGGTGCCACAAAAGAGACCAATTATAACACACATTTCTGCTGCCAGTACTGGGAGAGATCTTATCCTTATCTTTACACTTTCATTTGGTCACATGTGATAAGAAAAAAAGTGAGAAAAAGAAGAAAATCACAGAGGAAAAGAGGAGAAAGAGAAGCAGGAGAGACACTAATTGCAGGTGACAGAAAGAAATAAAGGAAAGGCAGGTGACTTGCTTGTCCAGTTTTGGCTCTATAGTCCTATGAGCCAAAATGCATACTTAGGGACATGGTATCTCACAGGAAAAGGGAAGAAGGGGTAAGCTGAGAGAGGTCAGGTCATGGTGTTAATTTCTTTCCTGTACAAAGACAGTCTCTTGAGGACAGAGGCCTGCCTCTTGTAAGGTAATGTCATAGTCCAGATGAGAGAGCTTCCTCCGAGGGAAATTGGTAAGAAGTTCAAAACGTTCATTTGGATATCCTTTAGATTGGACGTGCTTCACCAAAGCCTATGAAAAACAAGAGTAAAACAAAACTGTTAGCTGGAAATAACACCATGCTTAATTTATAAGAATACTCTATTTTTATCACATTAGGTGAAAGTAAGTTATTCAGATAATCAAAATTTATTTATAGAAGGCCAACAATGCTTTGTCCTGTGTGCTAGAGTTCTCGAAGAGAATCTGCTGGTCTTAATTCACGGGTAGGGGTCTTGGGTATCCCTGTTAGTGACAAGATCAGAAACATGTCTTACCTGAGGCCACACATGGCAAGGCATGCTAATCCAGCATTATAAAAATGTATTGGTGGATCTCTATGAGGTCATGTTGATCAACATTTGCGTTCCAGGCCAGTCAAGGTTACATAGTGAGACTGTCTCAAAAAGAGGAACAAATTCTAGCTGATTTGGAGGTGTTGAGTATCTGTTATAGTGTATTAAGGGTATATTTCTCAGATGAGTGGGGTGGCATACACCTTTAATCCCAGCACTTGGGAGGCAAAGGCAGGCAGATCTCTGTGAGTTCAAGGACAGTCTGGTCTACAAGTTGCAGGACAGTTAGAGCTACCCAGAGAAAGCTTGTCTCAGAAGAAGAAAAAAAAAAAAAAAAAGAGTATTTTTTTTCTCTTCATTTAGGGCTACTACAAAGTTCTAGGGAAGGAAAAGCTCCCTAAGTAGCTTGTCATCGTGAACACCAAAATTTTCAGCAGATGTTCTGCTGGCTTGAAGCCAGGGGGGAAAAAGTTCAACAAAACTCTTTGGATAAGTAAGATAAATCCATATCCAGTAACTTATGAATATAAAAAGATATAAAAAGAGTCATTGCTAACTTCTCAGTAAATAAACCCAGTCAATATTTATAAAAGATAGCACTGTTTTTCTTCCTCCATCAGGGAATATGTCCTTTTAATCTATATACGATCAGTCATGACCATACAACTGTCTGTTACAATATCAACACTTCCTTCTCTACAAATGCTTTCTTATCAGATAAACATGCTCAGTCTTTTCTAGTCATCTTTTCCCTTTGCGTATGGTCTAGTTTTCTTTGCAGTTTTGCAACTAAAATTCTCAAAAGGGTGGGCTACACAGCAGTGACCCTTGTCCCTAGGAAACATACACCATGACTCCTGGTAGACATCTAATTGACATAGATAGTACAAACCTCTACAAGTTTTTGAAGTTACCTGGCCAAAAACCCTGTGGTAACTATAATATTTATTATTACTAAGATGGTTAAAGCCTCTCAGGCCTTTACATACACTGCCTGACTATCCTGGATAAAGGGAATGGTTCATATCACAGGTGATGGAGTGGGATGGTAGGTTTCATTGTGCTATTCAGAATAAAATGTAATTTAAAACTTATGAATTGATTCTGTAATTTTTCATTTAATATGTCTATACCACAGTTTTCTGAGAGAACTAGGAGGCTCTCCTCTGACCTCTGTCCCATTTAGATAGTAATAGCATTCTGGCACGGGCCAGCAACTACCATTTGTCATTCTTCAACTTTCTGGTTACAATTCCAATGTCCCCAAAGGCACATGTTCTGAGCTTTTAGGATGTGGGGCCTGGCGGGCAGAGTAGGTCACCCACAGGCAGGCCTCGAAGGTCCCATCCACCCCTCTGGCTCTGGTGTAGTCCTCTACTTCCTGACCCACAGCCACATGACCAAGTCTCCAGCTCCATCACTAGAGAGGAACTCTCTGGCATGCTCTCACTGTCATGCATACCCTGCTTTGCTGGGATGAAATTTCTTGGAAACCATGAGCCAGAAGAGACCCTTCCTCCCTTAAACTGTTTCTGGTTTTTTTTTTTTTTTTTTTTGAGACAGGGTTTCTCTGTATACTTTTGGTGCCTGTCCTGGAACTAGCTCTTATAGATCAGGCTGGCCTCGAACTCACAGAGATCCACTGCCTCTGCCTCCAGAATGCTGGGATTAAAGGCGTGCGCCACCACCGCCTGGCCTGCCTTAAGTTGTTTCTGTTAGGTATTTTGTTGTAGAAATGAGAACAGTGACTAATGCCAGGAATAGTGACAGGCTAGGAATGGGGACCACCCACAGGTTATGCAAGTAAGACCAAATTTCTCTTCTAGCACTTAGGTCTTTAAAAGCTCCCCGGCATGTGCTGTCATGTGCAAACCAAGGCGTAAACAAAACTTACAGGTATACAAAAAGGGGAATGGAATAAAATAGAGACTCACAAGAAAAAACTATGACAGATCACAGAAGATACCGAAGAACCTTGGTTCCTAACTACTTTGTAGTAACAGACACTACTAAGAAACCCAAGATCCCCACTATAGTCTTCACATAAAACCACTACTTTTCTAGAAGTCAGTGTTCACCCACACAAACACAGAACTGAAAAGCCTTGGTTGGCCTGTGACTTGCCTAAAAAAATGAGAAGAAAATAAACTAATTAAAAATGAGACAGCAGCTCATATTTATAATTGAAACACTTGGAAGGCTAAGCAGAAAGACTATTTTAAGTTCCAGGCTAGCCTGGGCTGTGAAGTGAGACCCCCACCTCAAATACCAAACACCACCACAGCCTTAATTCTAGCATTTGGGAAACTGAGGTAGGCAAATCTCCTCTGAGCTCAAGGCTACTCAGGGCTATATAGTGAGATCCTGCACCAAAACAAAAACAAAAAATCATGTAAAAAAAAAAAAAAATCAGGGCTGGAGAGACGGCTCAGTGGTTAAGAGCATTGACTGTTCTTCCAGAGGTCCTGAGTTCAATTCCCAGCAACCACATGGTGGGTCACAATCATCTGTAATGAGATCTAGTGCCCTCTTCTGGTGTGTGGGCATACATGGAGGCAGAATGTTGTATACATAATAAATAAATAAATCTTTAAAAGAAATCTTACAACAAACCCTCTCCCCAAAAAAACTAAGACTCTTGACAATGAAGTTTTGATTTAGATATGAGATACCCTACGTCTACATCAAAGAATTGAGCTTGACTTCAATTTTCTGTGGTCTCCAGGATAAGGGTCTGCTTGGCATGCATTAAGTTATGGGTTTAATCCCTAGCACCACGAACAATCAGTTTCTTTGCTTCAAGCAAATGTTTCAGTGAGATAAACTCACCAGCAGTTTAGCTTGCTCTGGAAGAGTGATCTGCTCCCTTTTTCCATCTGGGTACCGTAGCATTAGCTGTGCTTTTGGTCCTAAGGAAGAGTTATACACACATAGATAGATGTTTAATATCGGAGATTAACTAAAACAAGTTATTTAGTAAACTCAAGTTTAGCAAGTAACCCACCATTGACATCTATCCCCTCCACTATTCCATCTGACTTTTCGGGTGACATCTCCAAGAGCTCAGGGTCCATGGCTGGCAACCCTTGATGGTTTGTGGCTGTGCCAGGCTCAGTTCTGGCTGGGGGCTCCATCAGTGGCCTTCTGTTCTCCTCTTTTCTGTGCCCCACATCTTTATGAGGAGATTTTCTGGACTTAGCAAGATTCTCTACCTCCTCTTCTTCATCAGAGCCACAAACCGATATGAATTCCTCACTGCCAGAAAAAAGTTCCGATTCAGATTCTTCATCTGAGCGGTTATCCTGCTTTGCCTGTGCTGAGTCGAAATGTGTCTCCTGCAGAGAGGCTCTGATGGCGGCTTCCAGCTGGCTGTCTTCGCTGGCATCTATGAGGCTCTCCTACGAGGTGTGCCAAAACACAGGTGGAAAGAACAACAGTTAAACCAAAAGCCACTCAAACAGGGTATAAAAAACATACAGTCAACACGTCACCATAATTTTCTGCCGAAGCAGAATCTGTCTCTTGTACAATGTGAGGCCAAGGACTTTTATTAGAAAGTAAAACTGGAATGGCTACTTTAAAGGCAAAAGTAAGACTATCATTAAACTGGATAAGATGGCACATACCTATAATGCCAGCATTCATGAAGGGGATTGCTCAAAGTCTGAGGCTAGCCTGTGCTACAAAGTGAGACACTGTTTGAAACACAAATAAGTACACTAATGTTTTAAGCCCAGGCATTTTTGGCATCAAAATGAACAAAGCCAAGAAAATAGGTTATAATTTTTTTGTTTAGAAAAATAACTTTATTTATTTTAAAGATTTATTTATTATATATATAGTGTACTTGTCTGCTTGCATGCCTGCAAGCCAGATGAGAGCGCCAGATCTCATGGCAGATGGTTGTGAGTCATCATATGGATGCTGGAAACTGAACTCAGGACCCCTGGAAGAGCAGCCAGTACTCTTAACCGCTGAGCTATCTCTCCAGCCCCTGAACTCAAGTTTTAAATATAAAGTCAAACTACTATTCTTTAATAAGATGACTAAACATCAGAAAATGTCTCCTTTGCTTATCATTAAATACAATGATTCTTAGCATTCAAAACAAGAAAATATCATTACCAAGATATGACATGGTGGTATGCCATACCAATCCTCCCAGGATTTAACACTTGGGAGGCTGAGGTAGGAAATTTGCAAGTTTGACTTCCAGCATGCAGCATACAGTGAGATCATCTCTCAAAAAAAAATCATCTAAGGGAAAACATATTAGGGTGTATATGGACAGATTAAATTCTTGAAAGCTGCCGGGCGATGGTGGCGCACGCCTTTAATCCCAGCACTCGGGAGGCAGAGGCAGGCGGACCTCTGTGAGTTCGAGTCCGCCTGGTCTACAGAGCTAGTTCCAGGACAGGCTCCAAAGCCACAGAGAAACCCTGTCTTGAAAAACAAAACAAAACAAAAAAAATTCTTGAAAGCTTAGTAATAAAGACTTTCATTATGATAATGAGAAATGTATATTCCCTTTATTTATATTATTTATATAAATTATTTATTTATACCTGTATGTATGTGTACAGCTATGCAGCTAGTGTGTACACATTTAAGTCAGAGAACCAACTGGCAGAAATCTGTTTTCTCCTTGCACCACAAGGATTCTAGAGATTACTCAGGTCATCAAGGTGGGAAGAAGGTGTCTTAACCCACTGAGCCATCTAACAGCCATAGAATTGCAAATTTCTAATATTCTCTTGTTACAAGTTTTGAATACCACCGATTTTTATCTTTTTCTTGGGGGTTGGGGGCTCAAGACAGGGTTTTTCTGTGTAGCTCTGGCTGTCCTAGAACTCACTATGTGGACCAGGCTGGCCTCAAACTCAAGAGTTCAGAGATTGACCAGCCTAAGCCTCCCAAGAGCTAGGATTAAAGGCATGTGTCCACTGCCCACACAGATTTCATTTTTAAGTCACAAAATATGGACCACCTGAATGGAGCTAATTTATGCATGCATACCATGTACATGCCTGGTACCTACAGAGTCTAGAAAGCACTGAATCCTTGAACTGGGGCTACAGGTGGTTGTGAGCTGTCTGGTGTGGGTGCAGGAATCTGAACCAGGGTTTTCTAGAAGAGCAAGTGCATCTTCTTCATGGAGCCATCTCTCCAGCCTAGTATTATGATTTTTTTTTTTTTTAAAGAGTCTTCTATGGTCCAGATCGGCTCAAAACACACTATGTGGCTCAGGATGATCTTGGAACTCTCAATCCTTTTCCTACTGCCACATAATAATTTTTTATAAATTAAGCCAGACATAATGGGGCACACCTTTAACCCCAGCACTTGGAGGCAAAGGCAGGTGAATCTATGTGAGTTCAAGTACAGCCTGGTCTACAGAGTGAGTTCTTGGACTGGCAGAACTACATAATGAGAAACCTTTCCTAAAAAATAAATGAATAAAAATAAAATTAAGTCTAATTTATCATCCATATAAAGCAGGTAGACTTATTTATGGGACAGCACCAGCTTAAGTAACTAAATTTGCAGTAACACTATACAGCAGATAGCACCAGGTTCCTATTGTTCCTATCCAATACTCACTCTTCCCTGGGATTCCTTACTTACAGAACCCAAATTATGGTTATAAACACAAACATCAGGGGTCAGAGAGTTGGTTCAGATTAAAAGAACCCACTATTCTTTTTAGAATTTTATTTTTATTATTTTAATATGTGTGTGTATGTATGTGTTCGCACGAGTGTAGGTGCCCACACACATCAGACCTGGAGCTGACTATAAGCCACCTGATGTGGGTGGGTACCTGGACCTGAACTCAGTTCCTCTGGAAGAATAGTATACGCTCCCACTATTCCCGCTACAATCAGCAACATTTGACAGTAATTACTCAGCCATCTTTTCAAGAGCATCTCATCAAGAGCCAAGGGCTTTTGGTGAAGGTTTTTAAACCAAAAGGCAAGGCTTTTCTCCATTATTGCTTTGTGAATAAAGTGGCTGTTTCTTGCTGTAGATGTTTGTTGTAGCTGACTCCCCTTCTGTTACAAATTTATGAATCAATTTCCACAGTTCAGAACTATTTCCTAACCTTTTGGGGCTCACTGATCGCATTCACCTAGCTACATGTCAAGAGTTTCACACTGCCAGGCCTTTGTTCCTCTCTCCTAGGTAAACGCAGAGAGCTGCCTGCAATTATCTTCATCTACAGGCATCTTGCCAGTGTTTATGGTCCAGGTAAGAGCACTCCATTTAAGACATTCACAGATATCCAAGGACACAGAATTACTACTTGTCCAAAGCTGTTGATTCAGTTGCTCTGACAGATAGAATAAGCATGCCCTGGTTATACCCCACTTAAAAGATTCCTAACTCCTTACACCTTAACCTCAACTTACTGATGATTTTAGTTCAGGAAACTTACTGCTTGTGTGTTATAGCAGAAAAGATAATTAACTGTAACCCAGAGAAAAACTTCCTTCCCTTGGCACCACAGACCCAGAACATCTGTGATCAGAATGGCTGATAACAGCATACCCTGGAACTGATAATATAGAGGCCAGGGTCTTCTCTTTGCTTCTACCACTTAGACCAATAAGTGTGAATGCCAGACCTAGACCCATAGAAATTATAGCGTCTTATGAATATGCTAATCAGATCAGGAACCATTAGCTTCCTCCTGACTGTTTACATGGGTTACCTGGTTACACAATATCCTCTATGCATGCTGGGAGAAAAAAAAGGGGGCATGCTGATAATAAACAATCTCTGTTCTATTCTTAATTTTATTGAAAATAAACCTTTAACCACCTAAAAATGTAGTGTAGCATACTAGCTTTCCCCTCTAGAATTCCCTGATGATTTAATTCATTTCTTAACTTTCTCCATTAAGGAGTTCACCAGACGTACACTAAGCCTCTCCCACCCTGAGCTGACAGCCACAGATGGATGGCTGTGTGTGAAAACTCCTTTCTGATTTCTATGGGGCAAAAGAATTCCAGTCCTGAAAACCTGCTAGCGCTGGGTAACTGCTGGTTATATTACTGGGAATGTTTTTAACAAGTGGGTTAAGGAATAAGAAAGAAGAGCTGGGCGGTGGTGGAACATGCCTTTAATCCCAGCACTTTGAAGGCAGAGGCAGGCAGATCTCTGGGAGTTCGAGACCATCCTGGTCTACAAGAGCTAGTTCAGGTCAGGCTCCAAAGCTACAGAGAAACCCTGTCTCGTAAAACCAAAATAAATAAATGAAGGAAGGAAGGAAGGAAGGAAGGAAGGAAGGAAGGAAGGAAGGAAGGAAGGAAGGAAGGAAGTAACATGGATAGAAAAAAATGTCGTGAGTAGTTTTCTTAACCCTTAGATTCTAGCTCCTTTTGCTTATTGTGGTGTCTTTAATTGAATCCTGAGAGGGATTCTTAAGAGCTGGTCTCTTGAAGACCTCATTATACTCTATCCCTCCAGCCCCACCCTCTGCTCTTGCAGAGAACAAGGGTTTAGTTCCTAAGACCCACTTCATGGTTCTCAACCATTTGTAACTTCAGTTCCAGGGGATCCATCACTCTTGTGGCCTTTAAGGGCAGTGCACACATGTAGGACAAATACACACATACAGGCAAAACATTTATACATAAAGAATTTTTTAAATAAAAAAAAGGTCTGATTAAGAAAGTCCATGTACTACTTGCTCTATAGTATTTATTTGCTTGTTTTGTCTATGACTTGTTTTGAGACAGGTCTCACTCTATAGAATAGAATTCAATATATAGTTCTGATTGATCCCCAAACTTGCAATAGTCCTCCCGATTCAGGATCTTGGGTGCTGGGATCAGACATGTAATACCCTGCAAACTAAGAATAAAAGGAATACAGGCAGGAGATGGAGGCATAAGTATCAGGAATTCAAGGAAATCTGAGCCCATTGGACAAGATCATAATCTGGTCCACAAAAAGGAGGAAACCTCAGTAACTTCCTAAAGTATATCTTAATAAACATATGGACCAGAGAGGCAATCAGTGGTTAAAGAGCTTGCTTCAAAAGTGGGAGGACTATTGCTCAGATTTCCAGAACCCCTATAAATGCTCGGTGGGTGTAGCAGTCTGGCTATAATTCTAACTTTCAGTAGGCGGAGACAGGGGCTCTCATAGCAAACTGTCTAACCAGATTAGCCATATTTATGAATCTTGGGTTCAACTGAGACCCTGTCTCAGTGAATAAGGAGGGCAAGGACCGATTACACACACACACACACATACTCCCATACACAAGAACATACACATACACATCACACAAATACAGATTTTAAAAGGAGTTATATAACCAAACAGAGGAACTTCTAGTGGTGAGACAAGTCTCCAGGAGCCAAGAAGAAGCACTAAGAGACTTCAACAGTCAGATTAGTGCTGCTGTTGCTACAGTTACAGAAACTTCTTTCTGCAGTGGACAATGGTAACTGCAAAGACACATAAGGGGTTAAAGTGTGGAGAATAAATGTTGAATGGAACTATAGCATTCATAGCAGCCTCTCCACAGTTCAGGAAATGTCATGGAAGAGAAGGCAGAGAGAATGTAAGATGTGAAGGATGGGTAGAGGGACATTTTCTGGGCATGACAAAATTGAATTCCCAAGTGCAGTGGCTGTGATCACCTGTATAAATCCTGCACAAGATGGACCCATCAACACCCTGCCATGGAAAGAACTTACAAAGGCACAAGCTCTCCCTAAAATAAACAGTTCATGTTTGCTGGAAATGGAAAGGGCGTTTTCTTTAGGAGTGTAGCCACTGGTAAGGTGCCCATGCTCCTGTAAATGATTTCTCACCCAAGCTTCTATAAGTAAGCTTGGGTCACAAAAATAAGTAAATGAATAAAAATATGAAACTATATACATATATACATATACAAACATATATGCATGCATACATATCAGTCAACAGCAACATGTGTCATAAAAGCAATTCAAATTAATAAATTTGTTTACTGAGGTTGTACTCTAAGGTCAATAAAAAAAAATATAACAACAACAAGAAAATACTGCGGGGAGAAATTAAAGACACAAAAATAGGGAGATATTTTCCATACTACCAGACATGAAGATTCAATTATTAGATGTCCATAGAACTAGTGTATTCCAATTAAAATTATATTAAGTTTCCTTGTATTAAATAACACGTTGGTTCTAAATTTGTAAAGAAATGTGAAACGCCCAAAGTAAACAGGAAAATTTCATTTATTCAATTTAGGTACTCACTTTAGATATGGGCTATTTCTTTTATCACTATACCCTATAGACTTCTAAAGATACACAATTTTATTCTCATTGCCATCAAAATTATAACCAAAGTAAGACTGCCTTATCTTTGAAGCGCTTTTACTTGAAACTAATCATAATGTCAATTAGCAAAGATGTCTGCATAATAACTACTACAGAGATTAAGTGTAAAAATAAACTCTGGGAGAGCCAGGGAAATCCAGGACCTAAAGCTATCTCACCAGTAATAATACTTAAATTGTTCCTTTCTTTTCTTTTTAGGTCTCATTTTTATTCTTTAATTATTTATATATGTAGGGGGTTATATACATGTATTATGATTTCACTGAGTAGACGAAATTCTTCTGCAGAAAACTATCAAAAAAGTAAGAAGTATCTAAGTAGTACAGTCAGAAACACTAACTGGTCACTACTTACGTTATTAAAAGTACCATTTTAACATCAAATGTTTCACATAAAATGCTGACATACAGGTATATTCAGTCGTCTGTCACTTATACTTACTGATCGGGCACATTTTTTGGGGGGACTGCTAGAAAGTCCATCCAGTTGCCCATGTTCACCCAGAAACCCTGTTACTTGGTCCAAGAAAGAAGACACATCTAATTGGTGCCACTCTACTAGCTTCTGACCTAAAAATTAAAAAAAAATTAAGACATGTAAATATAATCAATAATTCTTCTAACCGTACTCATTAAATAATTGCCATATGAATAGTAAACATTTGTTACAAATTCATATCCCCATCCTTCAGTTGCTGAAGTCACAGAGTATCATCATAACCTACCAATAACATCAATTATAACTCATTGATAGAATCAATCATGACAGGAAAATTATCTTATTTGCTGGCACCACTTACAGCAATTTAGGAAGAAGAAATTCAAACAAAGAAAAATTTAAATAAAATATAATAATGAAACCAGCTCACCCTCTAGTGCTCTAGAGGAAAACAACCAAAACTTAAAATCTTAAGATTTTATTATAATAGAAAAACCTAGGGAGACCCTTATAAAGATATAATCCTATCAGTTTTCCTGAAAAAGAGCAGAACTGTACAAACACAAAATACTGTTTCCCTTCAAGTTGCCAGAAATAGACTCCCAAAATACACACATTCAAGGATGTTTACATAATTATGTAATAAAAAGAAAAACTTTCCTTAACTATTACATTGCTAAAGCCAAACCCAATCAAATATTAATCAACTATTTACGTATGTGAAAAACAAATGATAGTTTAAAGGCTGTAATTGGATGTAACTTACCTGTCCGTGGGTCCAAGATGGAAACATAGGGGAAATCCCCTAATTTATAAAACTGTATGTATCTCTGACCTTCCTCACTGTCATGATAAACCTGTTAAGTCAGTAATATAAAAAGCAGTGTTACCCACTAACAGCAATTGATTCCCCAAATAAGCCTTTGAAAAACATGCTTTGTTTTCATTCCCATGTGAAAAGGGAAGGACTTATTCCTGGTCCCTTCTAAAAACTCATTATGAACAACAAACCTATTCCTCCTCCTTCCTCACTTCAAAAGACGTACTATTTTTTTCTTTTCAAGTATTTGTCCATCTATGAGTTTTCTGTTTGTTTGGTTTGGTTTATTTTGGAGACAGGATCTCACTATATAGCTCTGGCTGTCCTGGAGTTTACTATGTAGACCAGGTTGTCCTTGAACTTACAGAGAAAGGCATTAGTCTCTATGCCTGGCATAGAAAATGTATTTTAATAAATCACAATATATTAAGATTATAAATTTGAAAACCCAACATTTTATTAGGCAGAGATGTTCAATATTTGAATAAAATAAAAGAAATTCTATCATTAAAAACAATCACAGAGCTAGGCAGTGGTGGCACACACTTTTAATCTCAGCAGCACTCTGAGAGGTGGAAGCAGGTGGATTTCTGCAAGTTCAAAGCCAGCCTGGTCTACAGAGTGAGTTCCAGGACAGTCAGGGTAGCACAGAGAAATCCCGTCTCGAAAAAAACAAAAACCAAACCAAAACAAAAACTCAAAAAACACCAATCTCAGAGGCCAGCAAGATGACTCATCAGGTCAAAGTGTTGCAGCACAAGTCTGACCACCTGAGTTTGATCCCCAGAACCTATAACGGAAGGAGACAACCAATTTCCAAAAGTTATCCTCAATCCTCCACACCACACAGCCATCCAGTATATACACGCAAGCAAACTTATAATAACAATAGTTAAAAAAAAAAACAAACAGAAATCCCACTGGATTTATCAGACTGTAAAATACAAACAGTTAAATTAACAGCATCAATAGTAATATATCTTAGAAAAGGAAATTATTATGTTTACTTTGTTATTTTCTGTAACTTTTTAAAAACTAGAAATTCAAACTGGGTCTATCTAGGCTATAATCCCCAGCTACTCAGGTGACTGAGGTCACAGGATCACAAGTTAAAGGGCTACTTGGAGTGGTTTCAAAAGCTCAAAAGGAGTGGACCCCAGTGGCACACAACTTTAATCCCAGCACTTAGGAGGCAAAGGCAGCTTGATCTCTGATTCAAGGTAAACCTGGTCTATAGAATGAGTTCCAAGACAGCCAGGACTATACAGAGAAACCACATCTGGAAGGAAAAAGAAAAAAAAAAAAAACAAAAAAAAAACAACTAAAGAACTAAAAAGGAGGATGGAGATTATCTTAATGGTGGAGCACTTGCCTAGCTTGCAGGAGGACCCAGGTTGAATCCCCAGCAGTAAGCCAAACAAACAAAAAACTCCAACCAAACAAGAAAAGTGAAACGAAAGGAAACTTAGAGGTAAGCTACCTAGTTTAACTTAACTAGATAATTTACATGAAAAGATATTACATCTGAACACGGAGGAATATTAAGCTAAGAACGCACAGTAAAAGAGTAGCAAACTCAAGCTAAAACACAAGTTTTAATGTTTTTCCAAAGTTTTAAAATGTTTTTCACTTGGCCATTTGTCTTGTATGGATATTAAATAGTTGAAATTGACTAATTCCATGCACTAAGCATGAATTACATACTATATCTTGAGAATTTAACACCCACAGATCCTGACATTAAAATGTTAATATGTTTTATATATATAAAATCTATTGATTTAAAGAATATCAATGTTGATTTCACCTGTTTCCTCTGAACCTTTTCAGATGGTATTTACGGTTTCTCTACTGTAGACCGACTGTCAGATGCTCCTGAAGCATGAGCATCACATATTTAACCATCACAGGTAACTTATGTCATAAATGAATTCACTTTTCCCAGTTTGTAACACCATTCCTCATCAACAACATCCCACACTACAAAAATATTACCAAATTTTTAATTAACTGTCCTTCTCACCTGCCAGAAAATGAAATGTTCCCGGATAATATTCTTCACAGCTTCATTGCTCCACACATCACGGTTGAGGCACTGGCATGCAAAGTCTTGTACATTTTGAATGTTTATCATCAGCCACTTATTCTGCATCTGGCCACACTCTTTGGCCTGTAAAAGTAAAGTTAAACACTGATTTTAAAAAAAAGTCTCTAGCCAAGCAGTGGTGGCACACACCTTTAATCCCAGCACTTGGGCGGCAGAGGCAGGAGGATCTCTGAGTTTGAGGATAATCTGGTCTACAGAGACAGTTGCAAGATAGCCAGGGCAGAAAAAGTCAATTTTAGGAGCGTCATTCCTGATAGAGTGACCATGCTCCAGTGGATGTTCCATGCTCCCCTGGACCATTCTGTGTAAGGGTAGCACAAATTGGTCTCGATGGTTTTAGGTGGGAAACGTGAAGCTGGGAGGAGTTAGGGGATTAGAAAATGAATATGATTAAAATACACTGTAATGAATTCTAACAGGGTGTGGGTGGTTCACACCTTGTTGTAAACTGGGTAGCAGCACAGGGTAGGCAGAGGCAGGTGGAGTTCTGAGTTCAGAGCTCCAGGACAGCAAGGGCTATAGAGAGAGACCCTGTCTCAAACTCTGTTGCCAAAATAAGAAAAAATAAAATATCAAATAATTAATAAATAAAATGATATCTAGAGGCTGGAGATATGGGCCAGAATATAAAAGTACTTGACACTCTTGCAGAGGAATGGAGTTTGGTTCCCAGCACCTATCCCCAGTGGGTCACATCTCCAGAGGATCTGATGCCCTCTTCTGGTCTCAGGGGACAACGTCATGCAATGCATATATATGCATACATATACATATAAATAATAAATCTTTAAATGATATAGTTTTTTTTCATTTACACATTATTATTTTGCATATACACAATCCTTGTGACAGCTATCAAGTTGAGTGAATTAGGAGAAATCAGAACTGGTGGAATTGCACTTTAGAGAACACAGACCTTTAGGACTGAGAAGAAAGGCCCACCCAGAAGTTGGCTGGCACCAGCCACTGAATGAATGAAAAGTGGAGGAAGTAAGTGTGTACATCCCTCTAAGACCCTTTCTTTCTCAGTGTACACAAGTGGCCATTGTCATCAAACTTCAGCTCTCCAGGGAGTTTCTAGGCCTTCAACACCAGACAGAATGGCTGAAGCAACCTACTTTTTGGATTGAGCAGCTCAAGTATACAGTCACTGTTGAACTACCAGTGAATATCATTAAGCCAACCTAGTAAATCCCTTATTTTTATTTTTTTTTTCTGTAATACTATGCACAATAGTCTTGATTCTGCTCCTTTAGAGAAAGGGAAATACTGGCTTTGACCTAACTGTTAGAACCCCACATTCAACAGTCTTACCAGCCAGCAAATCCTCTCTGGAAATACTAAGTATCTTGAAAATGTGATAGTTTTGTTTTATTTACTTGTTTGTTTGTTTTTAAAGGTCTGTTTAATTTTATATGTTTGAATGCATGTTTATGAGTTTACGTACATGCTTGCTATCTGTGGAGACCAGAAGAGAGTACTGGATCCCCTAGAACTGCAGTTGTAAGTCACCATCTGGGTGCTGGAAACTGAACTGGATCCTCTGCAGGAGCAGCTAATGCTCTTAAGTGCTAAGCCATCTCTCCAGTTCCTACTGCTGTCTTCTCAATGACAGTCATTATCACTGTGGTGAGAAGGGAACATATTCCCCTAGCTTTGGTTAAAAGTTAGCAGACAATCAAGTAAACTGCCCCAGGAAGTTTTCCTTTGGGTTTAGAAAAGATAAAGCTAGGAAGAACTGGGGAAAGAATATATTTTGTAATTGGATCCAGATATATTTCTAATATCCCCAATACTTATCTGAAACTGCTGTGGGAGCACATTCTGCTCCTTCAGCCAATAGCCTTTAAGATACCAGCCCACCTGGGCATGGTCTCATATACTGTAAAGGCAGCTGTAAAGTATGCGCCCTGCTCTCTTGTTTCTGGCTGCTAGATTCTGTTTTTGTTCATGCAGAGAACTGTTATCTAGGACAGTGATCTGCAAGTTTTCCCTTAAATAAATAACCCTTTCATTATTCATAATTCTGAACTGGTGTGGCATATTTTGTGACTTCCATCATCATGAAACCACAAATAACAAAAAATATACACAAATTTAATGTATTATCCATTCTAACTAAGCACTGCCACATGGAGACCAGACTTTTACAATGTCGAATATGACAGGAAAAGTAGTTCAAAATTCTTTTGAAGAATTCCCTTCTTCACAATTTCATGGATAATTTATTTTTACTATAAACCAAGAATTATCACCCTTCTAATTATAGGAAACACTTTATAGTTTGTCTATGATATACCCAATTGCCAACATCACTAGTTAAGTTTTGGGTTACAATTATGGAAAATAAGTTATTTAAACACAAGCATTAAGTTATTACAAACTGAAGCTGGGCAGTGGTGGCACATACCTTGAATCTCAGTACTCAGGAGGCAGAGGCAGGTGGATATCTCTGAGTTTGAGGCCAGCCTGATCTACAAGAGTTTGTTCCAGGACAGACTACAAAGCTACAGTGAAACTCTGTCTCAAAAAAACCAAACCAAATAAAAACAAACAAAACAAAAACAAACAAACAAACAAAAAACAACCAAACCAAACAAACAAACAAAAAAGATGTTGGGTGTGGTGGTGCACACCTGTAATCTCATAACCAGGTGTCTCTCTGAATTCGAGGCCAGTCTGGTCTGGTCTAAGAGCTACATAGTGAGACCCTGCCTCAAAAATGAAAGAACTTTTATCCCAGTTGCTTTGGAGGCAGAGGCAAGTAGACTCTCTGTGAGTTCAAGGCCAGCCTGGGCTCCAAAGCTACACAAAACACCAAAACCAAACAATAAACAACCCCCCCCCCAAAAAAAAAACCCAAATAAATAAAATGAAGCTATTATAAGTTGAGCAACTTTTTTTGTTTTTGTTTTTCCAAAACAGCGTTTCTTCTCTGGGAAGCCACAGGTGTCCTAGAACTCAATCTGAAGATCAGGCTAGCCTTGAACTTAGCCTTGGCTTCCTTAGTGCTAGGCATGCACCACTACCACCCCAGCAAGTTGATCAATTTATATTAGCCCAGATCAGCTAACTAAATGATAAACAGGTAGGTAACAGATAATATATAGATACATTGTCCTGAGGAGATGGCAAGATTTCATTACACTACTTAGAAGAGTGCCTAACTTAAAACATACCTATTTTCCGCCAGGTGGTGCACGCCTTTAATCCTAGCGCTCTACCCACAGGTAGAGGCAGGTGATCTCTGTGAGTTCAAGGCCAGCCTAGACTACAGAGTGAGTTCCAGGACAGGCTCCAAAGAAAACAGAGAAAACCTGTCTCAAAAACAAACAACAACTACAACACCATAGCAACTTTTATGTCTGGAACTTTCCATTTAATATTTTGAGATTTCATGCAAGTTAAACCTAATCGAAACTGAAGATAAGGGGGAGACTACAATATAGGCAAAAGAGAAACACAATTTATAAATGGTTAATAAACATTATACTACTTACTTAGCAATAGTAAAAGATACATACATTTACAAAACTAAGTTTATAAAAAGAAGCTTTCAAAGTGTTAGAGGTTCTACAATGATGCCACACAAGGCCAATCAAAGGCTCTCAAAATAATCAACCTCATACACTGTTGTTAAAAATGTTAGTCATTTGCTGCCAGTAAAAATATAACCCAGTGCAACCCTTAAGTATATTATGCATAAATAGTTAGGATACCAACTCTCTATATACTGGAAAAAAATTGAATTAAAAAGGCATGGTGGAGCCAGGCGGTGGTGGCGCACGCCTTTAAGCCCAGCACTTGGGAGGCAGAGGCAGGCGGATCTCTGTGAGTTCAAGACCAGCCTGGTCTACAAGAGCTAGTTCCAGGACAGGCTCCAAAAAAAAAAAAAAAAAAAAAAGGCATGGTGGCACACAGAGGAGGTAGAGGCAGACCCATCTCTGATTTTGAGGCCAGCATGGTCAATATACTATGGCCAGGTTACATGGTAAGACCCTGTCTCAAGAAAGAGGAAAGAGGGGGGGGAAAAAAAAAAGACAAACTAAAATTGTAAACCAGTTCATAGGTTTAGTATACACTCTCCAAAAACTTACTGTTTCAAAGCTGCCTTTGTGCATCAAGTCAATTGGGGGCCGGAACAGATCTGCAAGGGTGGTGAGTTTCTTATCTATTGCTCCTCCATTTCTTAATTCCTGTTCTTGCCTAACTGCAATACAGAAGGATGGGAAAAGTTTTAATTAGTCATAAAAATGAAAGTGTTAAATTCCATAATAAACAAAAGACCTTATATTGACTGAAAGAATTACTGAACAGTATGCTTAGTTTCAAAAAGCAAATGACTTTAAAAAAAAAAATACAAAGAGGGGCAAAAAATATTCCAGGAGTTTGTGTTGTTCCCTAGCCTAAGGATAAAAGTAGAAAATTAAATTAGTTACAAATAGTCCTGTTGGGCCAGGCCTGGTGGTGCAGACTTAGGCTAACACAATAAGTTCAGTCAGGTGTGGGAGCACCTGGCTTTAACCCCAGCACTCGGGGCAGAGGCAGATTTCTGTGAGTGCAAGGCTAGCCTGTTCTACAAATTAAGTATAGTCAAATTAAGGATAGTCAAAGTTGTTACACAGAGAAACCCCGTCTCAAAAAACAAAAAACCTGAACCACAGAGTGAGTTCAAGTCCAATCTGAACAACCTAGTAAGAAATTGTCTGTCTTACAGTAAGAAGGGAAGGCAGCTGAGCTGGGGATCTAGCTCAGTACTTATCTAGTACACACAGGCCCCCATTTAGTGCCCAGCACCATTTAAAACAAAACCAAATTCACCTTGAGATGAGGATACACCTGAGGGGTAGAATGTTTGCTTGCCTAGAATATTCAAGGCCCTGTTTGTCACCAGCAAAATAACACACACACACACACACACACACACACACACACACACACACACCCCTCATCAAAGTAAACTCTTTCACATATTCATAACACAGAAGAAAGCTTTCAGAATGATTTTTCTAGTTTGATAATGACCCTAACCCACTGATTGCAGCTAGCTCCCAGTCTGTAAGCTTGCAGTAGAGGTAGAGCAGTAGAGCTATCCCCATCTACTAAAAAAGCACAGATTCCTTTGATAACTTAAGCCTTTTCTTTCAACTTTTTACAAAGTTACTGGACCTATCCTTACCTTAAAAGGGCACAGATACAACACCAGATACAGACCAAGCATTTGTCATGTATTATCTAAAAAACAACTGTCCTGGGCCAGCTAGATGGTTCAGAAAGTCAGGATACTGCTGCCAAACCCAATGGCCTGAGTTCAATCCCCAGGGCCCATGTGGTAGGAATTAACTCCAATAAGCTGTTCTCTTGTTAGAGAACACACACATATCATGGCCTACACACCACCCCCAACAAATAAATGAACAAATTTGTCCTTTCTTTAGACTCTTAAAAGTATACTTCTGAGACACTTCTGAGCTGTACCACAGAAAGGCATGAACTGTGCTGACTAGTTTTATGTCAACTTGACAAGCTAGAGTCGTCAAAGAGGAAGGATACTCAAGAAAATGACTCTGTAACACTAGACTGGCTACAGGCAAGCCTGTAGGGCAATGGTCCTCAGCTTTCCTAACGCTATAACCCTTTAATACAGTTCTTCATGTTGTGGTGAACCCCATAAAATTATTTTCATTGCTACTTCATAACCGTATTTGCTATTGTTACTAGCTATAATGCAAATATCTGATATGCAGGATACCCCTCCCCCAAGCGACTGTGACCCACATGTTGAGAAACACTGCTGTAGTACATTTTCTTAATTAGTGATTGATGGGGGAGGGCCCAACCAATCGTGGGTGGTACCACCCCTAGGCTGGTGGTCCTTGGTTCTACAAGAAAGCAGGCTAAGCAAGCCATGGGGATCAAGCCAGTGAGCAGCACCTTTCCATGGCCTCTGCACCAGCTCCTTCCTCCAAGTTCCTTCCCTGTTTGAGTTCCTGTCCTGACATGAAGTATGAGCCAAGTAAACCCTTTTCTCCCTATGGGACCCACAGTTGTGATCCTGCTCCACCATGACTGGAGGTCAGAGACTTTGAGCTTATTTTTGCTCTCTCAAAGTTGTTGAGGACAAGTGTGGCTACAATGAGAGATTCTGACCCAGGGTGTGGTATTTTGGGTGTGGAGGTGGAGCCACTCCATCTGGACCAAAGGTCAGAGAATTCAAGTCTATTCCTTATATCATGTTAATAAAGTCTGTTGCCTCCTCCCTCCCCTTATGTTTCTCTCTTATTTCTCTTACATCTACATCTGTTTCTTTTTTACTTAATAATTCTAACCATGTTCTTACCCTGGACCATACAAGTTTTGTTGATGCTGGTCTTTGACACCTCCCTAAGTTGTGTATGGTCATAGTGTTTCATTATAGCAACAGTAACCCTAACTAGGATAGTGTATGTATATACATGTACATGTATGTATGTCATGGTACATATGTGGAGTCAAAGTACAACTTGCAGCAGTTTCTCCCTTTTCATCATGTGGATCCTGGAGATCAAACTAGCCAGTATCTTTACCCAACATTTTGATGTTGCTATTATTTCACTTTTTAAACATGGGGAATCCTCAAAGTAATGAAGACAAACACTAAACATTCTTTTCATTGTAACAGAAAGGAAGTGGAATGGAAGATGGAGCTGAGAGACTAGTTCACAAATACCTACTAGTTTCAGTTTGAAAATCTCGGAAACCATCAAATATTGAACGTGCAGGCCTTCGTCTTTTAGGGGCTGTAGAAGAAAAACAGAATTGGTAAAAAAAAAAATTAAAACATTAATTTTGAATAATATTCTAAAGATATTCTTTATATAAGCATTCTTGTTTTATTTTGTGTGTATGTAATCTTTCCCTACAATGTAAGTTTGTGTAGCATGTGGCCAGGAGAGAGTATCAGATGCCCTGAAGCTAGAGTTATAGACAGTTATGAGCCTCTACTTGGGTTCTGGAAACTGAACCTCTGTCCTTTCAAAAAAATCAGTCAATGTTTTTAGCCACTGAGTCGTCTCTACAGCCCCATATGTATTTTAAAACGTTCATATTTTTAATAATGCCTAAAAGTGAGGAAAAAAATAGAGCTGGAGAGATGGCTCAGCAATTAAGAGCACGGGCAGCTCTTCCAGAGAATCTGAGTTCAATTCCCAGCACCCACATGGCAGTTCATAACTGTCTGTGACTCCAGTTCCAGGGGATCTGACACTCTCACACAAGCATAGATGAAAGCAAGAATACCAAGGCGCACAAAAATCAAAAATAAATTACTAAATTTCAGGACAGCCACAGTTTTACAGTGAAACCTGCCTTGAAAAACAAAACCAAAAAGAAAATAAAAAGGGAGCAGGAAGCTGGGCGGTGGTGGTGCATGCCTTTAATCCCAGCACCCAGGAGGCAGAGGCAGGCTGATCTCTGGGAGTTTGAGGCCGGCCTGATCTACAAGAGCTAGTTCCAGGACAGGCACCAAAGCTACAGAGAAACCCTGCCTCAAAAAACCAAAAAAAAAAAAAAAAAAAAAAAAGGAACCCGGGCGGTAGTGGCGCGAGCCTTTAATCCCAGCACTTGGGAGGCAGAGACAGGCAGATCTCTGTGAGTTCGAGGCTAGCCTGGTATACAAGAGCTAGTGCAAGGACAGGCTCCAAAGGTACAGATGAAACCCTATCTCGAAAAACCAAAAAAATCAGTAGCCCTCCTGTACACAGATGATAAAAGGACTGGGGAAGAAATCAGAGAATCAACACCCTTCACAATAGCCACAAATAGCATAAAATATCTTGGAGTAATTCTAACCAAACAAGTGGAAGATTTGTATGACAAGAACTTTGAATCTTTGAAGAAAAATTAAAAGTGGAAAGATCTCCCATGCTCTTGGGTAGGCAGAAATAAGATAGTATAAATGGCAATCTTACCAAAAGCAATCTACAGATTCAACACAATGCCCATCAAAATCCCTCAAAAACCTCAAAAGAACAGTATTCAACTTCATTTGGAAAAGCAAAAAACCCAGAATAGCCAAAACAATCCTGTACAATAAAAGAACTTCTGGAGGCATCACAATCCCTGACTTCAAACTCTACTACAGAGCTACAGTACTGAAAGCAGTCTGGTATTGGCATAAGAACAGACAGGAGGACCAATGGAACTGAATAGAAGACCTGCCGGATATCAATCCACACATCTTCAAACACCTGATCGTTGATAAAGCAAAAAATATCAAATGGAAAAAAGAAAGCATATTTAACAAGTGGTGCTGGAATAACTGGATATCCACATGTAGAAAAATGAAAATAAACCCATATCTATCACCATGCACAAAACTCAAGTCCAAATGGATCAAAGACCTCAACATAAAGCCAGCCACACTGAACCTTATAGAAGAGAAAGAGGGAAGTACACGTTAACGCATTGGCACAGTGAACTACTTAGTAAATATAACCCCAGCAGCATAGACACTGAGAGAAACAGTTAATAAATGGGACCTCCTGAAACTGAAAGGTTTCTTTAAAGCAAAGGACACTGTCAACAAGACAAAATGACAGTCTACAGAATGGGAAAAGATCTTCACTAACCCCACATCAGACAGAGGTCTGATCTCCAAAATATACAAAGAATTCAAGAAATTGGACACCAAAAGATCACATAATCCAATAAAAGAAAACGAAGTACAGACCTAAACAGAGAACTCTCAACAGAGTAATCTAAAACAAATGAAAGACACTTAAAGAAATGTTCAACATCCTTAGTCATCAAAGAAATGCAAATCAAAACAACTCTGAGATTCCATCTTACACCTGTAAGAAGGCCAAGATCGGGCTGGAGAGATGGCTCAGTGGTTAAAAGTATTGACTGTTCTTCCAGAGGACCTGAGTTCAATTCCCAGCAACCACATGGTGGCTCACAACCATCTGTAATGAGATCTGGTGCCCTCTTCTGGCCTGCAGGCACACATAATAAATAAATAAATAAATAAATAAATAAAAAATAAATAAATAAATAAAT